GCGTGCGCATGTGGTTGATTTTAATTAAATCACTTCCATTTTGAAATTTAAAGTAAATTTCGCAGCACTTATATCATATTTTAGAGCTTCAATATTATATTTATTATAACTTAAATTGATTCTTCATGCTATGGAGAAAACATTTTACTGCTTGAAAATCTTAACATTAGATCAGAAGTTTATCATTATGAAAACTTTTTTTTTTTCGCGTTCTGCTAAGAATTACTTTTGGAATAAGGGCCTATAATTGAAATTATGAACTAAACCTAACGACTATCGCTAATAAGAGATAGTAGCTCAAAGGTACAAAGGTACTTATTTTTTGAATTAAATTCTTAAAAAAACTGGACCAGAGGCTTATGACGAAAATTGATTTTGTAAATAAGCATAGATTTTTAGACTACGGTATAATTCCACATTTTTGTTAGTTTATATATAATATTTTTTTTTTAATTTAAAGAAAAGTAGTGTAGATTAAAAAAATTCTCATATTAACTCTTACATTTTGTTTGCTTTGTGTTCATTTTTTCCCTCATCTATATTCATAAAAATTAGATTCATTAAATGAAAAAAATAAAGATTTAAAACGAAAAACCTTTTGAAACATAAAGAAAAAGAACATTCTAATCTTGCATAGATAATTTCCAACTCTACAGATAATTTCAAAGAAACAACTCTTTTGTCATGATTTAGAAAAGATTTGATTTTTCAATAAAATATTTATTTTCAAAATTTATGCAGTTATATTACTTACTAATGTATCACCCACGCTGAATGTATCAATATTCCAAACGAAATAATATATTGTGATGGAAGTGTTGCCATAGTTACTAAGTCGTTACTAACAATTCAAAATCTCAACCGAAATGATTTTAGAACTCAAATTAAAGATCTTTTTTTCACAGCAAAACAATTTTTTTTAAATATTTTATTTATAATTATTTTTTTTCTAAATAATCGTCAACTTAAAACGGTTAAATACCGAAATGCATATGAAAATAAAAGATAGGAAATCGTTCTTCCTTTTCTTAGTAAAAAATTATAATGATCTTCATCCCTGTCAATTAAATCAAATTCAAAGATTTAATGAAAATATGTAGTTCGTGTGCGAGCAAAATTTTTATAGATTCCGTTTTGGATTTTTAAGGAGTGCAGCGCACTGCATACTTTAAAATTGACCTAAGTTCACTTTTTTTCAGATACTGGAAAAGTTTGTTCCAAAAATCTAAAAAAAAAAAAAAAAAAAATTGGTAACAGGAAAAACAGTATGTAATATAATTAAGGATGCATAACTAATCTACCCAATTAGCGGCAAGTGGTTGCAGTAACTACCATTGTTAAAAGATACTTATTAATAAGCCTTTGTTTCGTGAAGCTTGTTGAATTATGACGATGTGAGAGCCAGCAAAATTCAAACGATTTTTACCGCGAATCATCAAAAACTTATTCGAAGAACTAATTTTATTTAGGATCAACCGTTATTGTTTGCAACTAGAGAAGAAAAGATTAGACCCAAACATGTGATTTATAAATCAGATCTAATTGGATACGTATAAACGGCATCAAGCGTGTGCCTAACCTGATTGACTTCTGAATCGACGAATGTCGTGATTTACCCACGATGACGTCGCTTGTAGGTATCCAATTATGACCAGCGATATTTTTTAAAAAAACGTGTCCAGAATAAGTATTTTTAAAAATATGTTTTTATCAGGTTTTATGTTTATATTTTGTTTCTTTGTGTCTGGACACTTCACAGGAAATTAATCAACAGATATCCTCGTTTATCCTTTAAGAAAGCCAGACACTATTAGTCATCATAACGCCAACCTCCAGCTCTATTACTTTACATTTAACATAAATTATAATTAAAATTGTTACTACTTATTTCATATTATAAATATTAAATAAATTATAAAATATAATATAAAATTTGAACAATTACAATACAGGGTGTTTATAAAGTCCCGGACCCATTTTGATGTTTTATAACTCATAAAATAATAAAGATAGATTAAAAATAATAACATAAATGGTTAGATAGACTCAAAAAGTTTCATGACCCTTGTCAATGAACTTCCACGTGTGCTCCCTTCGTCGCACGGAGAATATCAAGTCGGTAGTCAATTTCACACCAGGTAGCGGCAAGCATGTCGGCATCCACAGAGGCTATTGCGTTGTTATTCTGGCTTTTAGGTCATCAACGTTCAACACGATCCTCCTGTAAGCATTGTCCTTTATAAATCCCCAAAGAAGAGAGTCCAGCGGCGTTATATCAGGTGACCGAGTCATTGGGCCTTTCTTTTTTACAGAAAAGACGGTCTCATCAGTCGTATACTTAGACACGTTGGAAAACTTCGTATTTCCACAACTAGAAGAGCTTCAGCCACATGTCTTTTTGCAACAAGATTTTGCACCACCTCATTGGGGTATCATCGTTCGTAGTTCTTTGAATGACCATTTTCCAGGAAGATGTATTGGGCGAAGAGGTCCAATTTTGAGTCTATCTAACCATTTATATTATTCATTTCAATCTATCTTTATTATTTTGAGTTATTAAACATCAAAATGGGTCTGGGACTTTATAAACACCCTGTATTTTAAATTTTATATCAAGAAATGATTATAGTTTTCCTAAAACAAAAAGAAATATTAATTTTAAAGAATGTTACTGTTAAATTAACATTTTGAATTTTATGTTACAATCGCGTTAATTTGCGTATGCATTAGATATTTTCAATGCTTATATAGTAGAAGTAACATATATATTAAGTACATTAAAACATTACATTTCAATGTAATCACTATTTTTTTTAACAGTTCAAAATGCAATCTTAAAGGTTCGAGTGTTTAAGGTATATATACTAATCAATTAGATATGGAAGATTACGTTACGAAAACAAACAGACGTGCTTTTTCCAAACTAACAAAGATTTTTATTTCCTCCCTAGATAGATTTGGAATGCTAACCTCCTAAATAAGGTAGCTTCATTTTTGCTCCCCATCTTAAGAAATGGGTGACTCAATGCAATTTTGAACTTATTTATAAAATCTCGAAAAATATTGCAAAAAAGTTCAATAATTATCTTTAAGCAACACTCCTACAACTGCTAATTGCCAGCCAAGGAAGTCATGGAAATGAAGCCTCCACAATATCCTAAGACCAAAGTCAGGGTGATTGCAATGTGGTAAACATAATGCATGCTAACCATCTTTACTTCTTAGACAAGCCGGTACCCACGACATACTAATATTAATAAAAAAAAAGAGAGAGAGAAACTGTAATGCTCACAGAATGAAAGTGTAAAAAAATTACATTTTGTAATGAGTAATATAAATTTTAAAAAAATATTTCAATTAAAATTTTTTTTATAAGAATTAAACAAAACCATTATTGTACAAAATAAAATTCAATGTTTATTTGGATTTTATTCTTCAGTGTCTTAGTATAATTTAATGTTTATTATAAAACATAAAATTATACTACTTATACGAAGTATAACTTAATGTCTATTATACTTCAGATATTTCTATTTCTTGAATTATTAGAAGTTCTTAAATAGAAAACGTTTTCTTTTTCAACAAAATAAATTATAAACAAGGAACAGTTTAAAAATTCGTGTTTTCCTCCGGTTTTTCAGGTTGAAATAACATTGTTTTCATATATCGGGATTCTAGATACCACAATGCATGGTACTAATTGCCTGGGGGGGGGGGGAAAAACGACGAAAAAGAACGTAAATTTCGACGAGTCTCAAAAAGTGATTATTTAAATGTGCGATTAGAAACTTGCGTTTCATAATGACAAAATCACGAAGAAACATTGCAATAATTACAGGGGAAATATTGATTGAATTCACAATGAAATTGGCACAAATAAAGCGGGACTGAGTAATTATTTGAATGCGTGATTTATAACTAGAAACGCGTAACAAAATTACGAATTTTTAAAACCGTGTGGGAAACATCGCAAAAACCGGCGAAAAAATGATTGAAAAATAACTTGAATACGATGAAAACGAAGCGGGTCAAAAAGTTATTGTTTAAATAGGAGTTTCAAATCGTCAAAAACGATTTTTAACTCCCGCATTGTAATAATATAGTAGTAAAAATACGGTATGTTCAAAATCAGGTAGAAAAGCATAGCAATAACTGCAATTTATATCTCGCGAGTTGTAAATGTATAGGGAATTTAAAAACCACATGGAAATAGACGTAAATGGTTAAAAACGATCCAAAAGTCGATCGTTTTTAAGAGATTTATGATGAAATCGGAAAAAATAAAGTCTAAAAGTGATTACTCAAATTCGAAAATCGTATTAAAAATATTGGATTTTTTAAAAAACATTCGGAATTTCGTTGCAATAACATTTGAAAAAGCGATCGAGATCAACACAGATTTACAATAGAATCTGAAAAAATTAAGCGCATTAAAAAGTAATGACTTAAAAGAGCATTTTAAAATGTTTGACTTTTTATTTTTTGATTTCAAAGAAAAAAAATCATTATGTTTAGTAGCTTAAGAGGGCAGCAGGTTGTGCACTCTTTCTCCTTGCATATGCAAAATTTCCCGGAATGCACATTTAGCCGTCTTTTTTTCCATTTATGAATAAATAATTAACAAAACTAAATTCTTCATTATACTATCTCACTTTTATATCATTTTAAATAAATGTCTATAATAATAAACTTTCTTTTTTTTATTTAAAAAAAAGGAACATAAAAATAATGTTAAGTATTATTAAATTATTTCAATAAACTCATTTTTAGTTATTACATATAGAATTAAGAAATAGCTATTTATCTAATCACTGTTATTTATCCAACTTGTTCATGCCTACTTTTGATATGGTCAATATTAGCTTACAAGTTCATTATATTTGTTTAACTATTGACATAATTTTCTATAAATCCCACAAAGTGTCAATAAAATCATTTTTTAAAATTTTAAGTGTTTTCAATTACAGCAAAGTTATGTAAAAAATGATAAACAAATTCTCTTCCTTTATACACAAAGTTTATTTTATAAAAGTGATATTTAAATGACAGTTTTACCAAAAGATATATAATTTCTTACATCTTTATGTTTACAATGTAAAAATAACAATATTTTACAATGTTTTATAATCAACAAAGATATTTCAAAGTTTGGCAAATAATGTAGACTAGCTTAATAGACTAAATATTTAATCTTTTTTGTAACTCTCTCCACTAAATGCTCATATTTTTGATTTGTGTTAACATTAAGTGTAAAAAAAAAATAGAAAATATACAAAATATAATAACAAAATACATGAATATTTCAAAGTATAAGGCACAATACAAATGTTGAGCATAAATATAAGATTATAGTATAATTTTTAAATTTAAAGTAAATAATACAAAAATTGAAAACAATTTGTTTTATACACAGTGAAATGAAAATTCATTACAGCTTCATAGCAAATTTTAGTTTCAATTCAGCAATTCATGTGTTAGCAAGCGGTATTTCTGTTCAATACTAAATCAATCAGGATCTGTGATTTAATTCAATATTTATCTTCCTGTTATATTCCTAAAAGCATATGCTTGTTCAAAAAAAATTTGCAACGTTAAGGAAACACAAGACTTTTTAATTGCACGACTTTTAAGTTGCTAAAAAATACACGCCTCAATATCTTTTGACATTTATTCAAAATTCAATTTTATGAAATAACGTAACACATAAAGCACTGATGAATATTTAAGAATTTAGGTTTTGTTACATTTGATAGCATTACCACTTTCAAAAAAGATGAATGAAATTTTAAATGCTACTTGAAGTGATACTAGTTATTATCATTTCGTAAAAAATATAAAATTTTAGTAAATAATATTGTGTAGTAATCAACATTTCGCAAAACAAAAATTTAAAGTAACTAAAGTCATGCATACTTTAAGATCTGGTAAAATTGTCACTAATTTAACTTAAAAGTAAATAACCATAAAATTCTGCATCTGAAATTAAAGCTGTAGAAAATTTGAATTACTTAACTCACTCTAAAAGATTGGACATGCCGCAAAGGTGCATTAAGTAATGAAGGTATAGTTATTTCCATTTTGTTTAAAGACATACAATTTTAGTAAAATATATTGTTTAGTAATCAATATTTTGCAAAATAAAAATTTAAAGTTAACTAAAGTCACAAATACTTAAAGACCTGGTACAATGTACACTAATTTTAGTTCAGAGTAAATACACTGAAAATTCGGCATCTGAAGTTAGAGCTATAGAAAATTTGAATTACTTAACTATATGATTGGACATGCCACAAACTAATTAAAGAGTTTAATTAATCATATCTGCCACACACTTTTATATTACATATTATAAAAAAATTATCCTATCCTTACATATTTTGAACATAAAAAAAATCAATACATATTTATCAATAAAAAAAAAATCCATCCTGTAAAAATTTAAGCTTATTTTTACAGGATGGATTTACATTTTAAGATACTATCTTACGTAAATGGAAAAGTTCTTTCATGAAAAACAAGTCATAATTAACAAAACAAATTGGGTTACAAAACAATATTTATCACCATCTGGGGTGTTTTGGACAAAAAGGAATGTGATTGTATACAGCGTCTGCATCTGGAAATTCTTGTACGCAAACCCAACAAAAGTGTGAATGGCAAGTTCTACATGTCATGTGATCACATCCTCCATCTTTTTGAATAGCAGTGTTGCAATTGGGACATTGTTTACATTCAGATGATTCTTTTTGCCAGATCTTAAAAGAGAAAAACATAATCGAAATAATTATTGCAGTGAAATTGAATAAAAATTTAATATTGCGATTCAATATAAATAAATAAAGAATAGAATATACAATTTTTTACAGCAGATCGTTAAAAATTTTTAAAACTAAAACGCAACTAAAATTGAACTACATTAATGTTAACATAATGTTAAATGTCACACATTTAATATTAAGTTAACATTTAAGTAACCATAACAGGGTGCGTAGCCAAATCTTTCAACAAAAAATAAGCACTTTTCAAGCACTCAAAAAATATTTTTAAGCACTACATAAACTAACAAAATGCAAATTTATTTTCCAAAACTTTAGATGATCATGAGAAAATGACTAGTTTCTAACAAAAAACTCTTTCCTTGATTATATTAGCCGTTATAAAATGACCGAGAGATTTTTCGGCTCGATATCAAGCGAACTCGCAAATATTTCATCAAACATGTAAAATTATTGAAGCTTTCATATGCTATGGTCCATAGCTCAAACGGTAGGCTCAAATGGATTGTGGTTGAATGAATTGTGAAAATGCTGAACAGAACAATGTGCAAAGCATGCTTTTGCATAATACATGACAAAAATCGACAAGGTAGAGAAAAAAAAATTATCTTAGAAAAGGGAAATTGAAGCACTTTTTTAAAAACACCCATGGAAAAAAGCACCTTTAAGGGCTTTTAAATAACGAAAATTGAAAATAAGCACCTTTATGCATTTTTTAAAAACGCTATGCACCATGTTGAACTACATCAATGTTATCTTAATGTTAAATGTCACACATTTAATACAAAGTTAACATTTAAGTAACCATGAAGTTACATTTAAGAAACCCTTAGTCTCTCAAAGGAATTCAACTATTGAAAGGTTGGAGATAAGGGGGGGGGGAATTTTAATTTTAATCCTTTTCATTTCATTTTCACAAATAAACTGATACTAGATTACTCTATTTGGCACTATCTTTTGATATATGTAAAATATAAGGCCATCCCCCAATCAAAATTTGAGGTATAAAGTGTGCTGTATTTTAGATTCTCCATTAATTTTTGTTGCACAAAATTATGCAAATACAATCTACAATATTTGAAAAATATTTAAATAGTAAACACTTATTAATTTTTAGATTTTTGATAAGCATCTATATTTTAATGCAATTAACGTTAAAGAAATTTTTTAATGCTATTCAAATCACTTCATATATTTAAACTGAAATAAGATTAGATTTTAAAAAAATTCTAAAAACTGAGAAACGTGTAGTTTTAAATTACTTGCTCAAAACCACAAATCACATCATTTTATTGCTTTAAAGCTTTGAGGTAAAATTCATACAAGTTCTAAAAACTATCAACCCGTATTTCTCTTTATCTAACAGGGTGCGTAGCCAAATTATTCAACAAAAAATAAGCACCTTTTAAGCATTTTTCAAGCACTCAAAAATTATTTTCAAGCACTTCAAAAAAATATCATAATTAGGCAGGGTTGAAAGTTTTTGACAATTGAAAGTTTTATCTTGTTTTAACCGTCATGTCAAAAAGAAAACCTTTTGGCATTGTTTTTGAAATTTTGAATAATGTAAAATGAATGGGGTTTTCATACACTACGATCTGACAATACGACGAAATAGATTGGGGTTGAATTAATTGTGAAAACGTTGAATAGAACAATGTGAACTGTGTCTTTTTGCATAATTCGAAGCGAAAATCAACATGGTAAAGGGAAAATCTCATATTGAAAGAGGGAAAATTGAGCACTTTTTAAAAACATCCAATGAAAAAAGCACCTTTAAGGGCTTCAAAAAAATGAAAATCAGCACCTATAAGCACTTTTTAAAAACGCTACACACCCTATCTAATAAAGCGGTCCTTTTTAAAAAAAAAAAAAAAAAAAACTTTTTTTAAACTCTATCTATTATTACTATATCATCAAAAGTTTGTCAAGTGGGAAAAATTAAAAATTTAATCTAGATTCCAAGATGAAGAGGGTCTAGTCATCTTATGTAACTTTACCAGTAAGTTACAGATCAATGCAATCAGAGTATCCATTTTGCAGTATTTACTCATGTTTTCTTGAGGGATTATTAATTTGATAACCCAATTTGACAGAAAAATTCATCAAATTGAATTAACATTTATTATGATGACCCACTTGATTGCTTTCAGGAACTTTCCAATTTGGAACTCCTCTCTAAACAATATGGCATTGTAGTAATATGAAATTTCAATAATTAAAATAAAAAACTTTACCATTTTTAATAGTTTTTAACCACTATTTTGCAAAGACATCCACCTCTTTAATTATTAAGAAAAAAAATCATTATTAGAAAATATAAAAATTCAAAGTTTATAAAAAAATTGCAACTATATTCAAAATTTTAATATTTTACTTTTTAACACATTCCTTTTTCTTAAATAAGTATTGATAGTAATATACTAAATTTATGATGGAGGTGATTTGTAAATAACATGTATTTTAACAATTAGCTGCTCTTTAAATTTTCAAGTTTTCTTAATAAATTAAAAAAAAGTTTCTTATTTTCTGTTTATAAAGATTTTTATAAATGTTGGCTCAATGTGTGTTTTTAATTTGATTTTATGATTATATTACTAAATTAAGACATTGTCTGCAGTGTGCTTATTCTTGCTGCACACCATCCTATGCTGTTTTTTTTTCTTAAATTTTTTTCACTGTGTTCTTAGAGCACTGATCTTACTGCTTTGATTTACTAATTTTTGTTAAAAAATAATATAATTTATTGTTGATAACTACATAAGTTTATAGCATTTTTGAAACTTTGTTTGTTATGTAACTGAGGATTGAGTTTATGACAAGAATATAATTGTCTTAATAAATCAATCAAATGCTGAAAAAGTGCAAGATTTCAAAATTATGTGATATAAAACATTAATGTAACGGAACATTGCAATGTAAGAGTGATGATATGCCAAAATCTTAACATCACTCAGTTTTAGCCTCAGGTAAACTGCCTATTTCCAGCATAAAATTATAAAACCAAGATATATTTGAAAATTAACAACTAGAAGATTAACAACTAGAAGATAACCAAATTTATTATTAATCTTATTTTAAAAAATTTTTGTTCGATTCTGTAACCAGTTTTGTACCCTCCGATTCCAATGCTTGTTACTCACAAGCATGTGCACAATAACTGTTAAATGGTTTTTTTTTTTAGCATTATATCAACCTATTTTTAGAAAATTTTGTTTAAAATGGATCACAAGTTTGTTATAATGGAATATGAAAATTCTTTCAATTTTGAACTGCAGTCGTATTTTAAATCTTAAGAACTTTGGGCAATATAGTAATAAGTGACATTTTTTCCAGGGTTAACATTTCTACAACAGTCTGATCTTTAGTATTGTTTCGAGATAAATAATTTCTAAGTTTCCAGGATTTCCACTAGATAAAAATACAAAATATATGGAAAAAAAAACTTGTTGTCTTCATGGTAAAAATGCATTTAAAAAGCACTGTCTACAAACAGTTAAACTTTTATCATCTTTTAATTGTATTGTCTTATTTTAAGTATAATGATTATATTTAGAACTTAAAATTTAAATTGTTTTTCAAACAAAAATAACAAATGCATACTTTAAATGAGTAATCAGGATCATTTTTTGAACCTTGATACATTTCACATGAAAATCCTTGGTGATACACAACATTACACCTAAAATGAAAAGTATAAACATTTAAGAAATCAATAATAAAGCAATTAAAATATTAAAAAGGTAAAAAATAAAAATATTCTTCTAAAATCCAGAAAATATAAACTTGAAATGAAAATTTCCAAATCATTTTTTTTAGCAATGAAATCTTTAGAAACTCTCCCCCCTCTTTTTACACAATACATTCAATTACTAAAAAAAACTTAAAATAATATATTAGTAAAAAAATGTTCAAAACGCATCCATTGTAATTCAGGATTATTAATTAAAACATAACTAGTGTTTAATATCTTTTGAAGTTTCCCATACATATTTCATATATACAATTACATATATATTTCAAACAGTATATATATAAAAAGATGAAAGGTTTAGGACAACATTCTCAGTTTCAGCAATTAGGTTCAGCTGCAAAATACTTAATTTTTGTTTTATGGGTTATTACAAAATGTTCAAAGCAAGTTCATTATGTTTAAAACATTAAAAAGTATTTATATTACAGACAACATATACAGTGTATGCACAAAATCATATTGAATAAAGCAAGTGTCTGGTTGGTTGATAACAGCACAATTAGAAGGCAGGACTTTTACTAAGAATATAATTTCAAAACATGTGTACAATCCCAATCATGCTTATTTAACATATTGCTTATTGCTTCCAGGAATGGGTTTAGAGTTTTAATGACCTAGCTTAAAAAATAAAACTTGCTACATTTCAAATTTTAATTAATAATATTTCATTACACTTAATATCATGCAAAATATAGAGCAATAGTTTAAAATTTAAAACACACATTTTACACAGATTTGCTACTCAAACAGAATAATAAATTTCTCTGACCCGACTTTTGCCAAACAGCATAACAATTCAGAGATTCTCAGGCATCATCTAGCCCAGGGGTTTCCAACTTACATGAGGCCGGAGGCCACAATTAAAAACACCAGTCATATGGCGGGCTGTAACTTTATCATAATTTTATATAGGGCTCTTTTATGTTCAAAGGAACATTAAATATTACTGTCAGATTTTTATCAAGTTGTACAAAACAAAAGTATTGAATTACAAATTAAAATAAGAAGCAGATTTTTAAAAATATTTAATTGCACATTAAAAAATTCTGGCTACAATAGCTTTAAAGTGCACCTAAGTATTAAACAATTAATGTGCAACAAATATCTAATTGCTAAGATATAAAACTTTAAAAAGGTTGGCATTATAACTTACATAGTAGCACACAAAATGTTCAATGAGAGAATTGAGGTTTGTCTGCTGCAACCACCAGAGAATAGATATTTACATTTTAAATTAATTTACATATGTAATTCATTTTGTACAGAATGAGTGGTTTCAAAAAAATAAATCAGAGAATTTCTTCGAGAAAATTTCTGATACACACATGCTAAATTATATTCACAAAATAAAAAAATATGTAAATAATATAAAATAAAAAACGAAATTAAAAAGAGCAACATACACAATTATTTTTGTATTTGAATAAATATTTTCTTGGATGCAAAACCTGAGAAATAACTTTCTTTTGCATCGTTGGTATGTTAAATATCACAGAAACGAAGAAATAAGGGTTTCTTTTAAACGAGAGATGTATTTTAGATCAATATAGATTTTTTACGAAAATTGTCCACAAAAAAATGAGAGCTAATATATTTAAGTTCGCGGGCCGGAACACACTTATATATACATATACAGGCAGAGAGAGAGGTGTAAATACATATGATTATTATATAAATTTCTATCTTTAAAAATGGGTAGGTCCAGACTCCCTTAAAAACCCCTCAACTATGTCCTTAGAAATTCTTACAGTTAAGAATTATACCAAGTTACACATAAATGTACTTTTATTCACATATGATGAAAGAAATTTTATCCTCATGAATAGAATAGCTTTTTGATTGGACCAAATTTTATTGATTTTAAGAGAACAGTCATTACACCATCTCTAAGTATAGTGGAATGTTCTAATTTATGATTCCATGCAAACTATAATCCATGCTTTAAAATGTAACCAAATGTTTATAAGAAAGATTATTTACTCACTTGATACATATATCATTGAGGCACAAAGAACAAGTATGTTTGGATTCAGAGAAGCCATTTTTATTGAAGAACATAGAGCAATCTGGTCCTGGGCAATAAATATATTCTTCCCTATGATCCTCCAGATACTTTTCCATAGACTTTTTCAATAAGGCATCCAATTTTGCCTGGTCATATTCAAGTGCCTTGCTGATATCATCTAAAATAAGTTCTTTATTGCATCCCTAAAATAAATGCAAAATGGCACTATTACAAAAATAAAATAATGATAAAAATATAGCTAATTGAAAAAATAACTGTATTTATAATAACAGTAAATTACGTGATTTAATAAATTATAATTTAATTTGCCCTAATAAATATATTTATTAGTGATAATTTATTAATAATAAATTTCAATTTATTAAATCGCATAATTTTTATTTCTTAAAAAAAAAACTCAACTGCAAAATAAACAGTTTGACTTAATTGAAACACAATTTTAAAAACAAACAAAAAGTAATTTTAACTTGTAAAATCAAACGTCAAATTTTCAAATAATCTTTAAGAGTGGCTTGCATGAATAGTTTTTAACTATATAGAACAAATAGAAAATTTAAAACTAACTAATTAAAATTTTGGAGTTTTTTAAAATTCTTTTTAATCTTAATTCACCGATAGTTTCTGAATGGAAAAATTTTAGGAGACTTTTCCCTTGATCATAGTTTATGCATCTAATAACACTGTTTTTGCTGAGTGGATAATTTAATTAAATTAGAATGTTCTTACAAATAAGGAATTAGTAAAACTTGCTCATAGAATGTCACAAAACAACTTTCAGATTGATATAAATAAATAGATTTTGACACAATTCATTTAACATTACTTCATTTTCACACCTTCTTTTAAAAAATTTTTTTTATTTAACGCTATTTAGAAAACAATATTTTTATTTTAAAAAAATTCCACCTCTTAGAAGCGTTAGAATAGGATTAGTTAAAAGCCAAAAATATATGACCTAAGCACTTTAAGTAATAACTAGGAGTACATTTGAACGTTGATTTTGAACATTACACAAAGCCTTTTATCACTTATTTTTGGTTCAACAATTGCTTTTTTTCTAAAATACTCTTGGGTTTCTTTTCAAATTCGTCTTATGTAATTGCTCGAGATTTGGGACAAACATCATAAGATATGGATAATTCTTAGAAAGTTTTGCAAAATTAAATTAATAAGTTTTCTAGGACAAGTATAACTCTGCTATTAAATTTTTTCTAAACCAAGTATGGGCAATAAGATTTTTAAATGATTGACCATGAGACCAATTTATAGGGGTGATTGTGAGCCCAAGTCAAAATTCCGGAAAATTTCTTGAGTTAAAAAAATATATATGTATAAAAATAATAAAAAAACAGTTTAAATTGAAAAAAATTTAAACAAGGTTTTTTTTCTAACTTTTTCTCATTATTTCTTAGTTCACTTGAAATACACTGGTTATCATAAATTAAGGAAAATTCACAAAAATCGCGATAACTCAAGAAATTACACATGGAATTTTATGAAACTTACCCACAATATACAACACATAGTAAGGTATTAAACAACATAAAAAGAAATTATCAGACATTAATAGTAGTATAGAAATTAGCACATGTATAAAATAAACAAATTGGAAGTATCGGTTTGCAATAGAAAAAGTACCTTTAATATGGAATATGATTGCCTCTAGAAGCAATACAGCACAAACAGCGATGTGTGATGCTTTCAATTATGCGGTCTATCAGTTCAATAGGAAGTGAGAGCCATTGCTCTTGTAAAGCAGTTGCAAGCGTGGCAAGGGTCTGAGGGGGCGGATTGATGGCAGATACACGCCTCCCTAGAGCATCCCAAACGTGCTCGATAGGATTCAAGTCCGGGGATCGAGCTGGCCACTCCATGCGAGTAATTGTTTCCTGTTGAAGATAATCATCAACAATGCGAGCTCTGTGTGGTCTTGCATTATCGTCCTGTAACAGGAAGCAATCACCAATTGCCCCGGCATATGGGCGCACATAAGCATCAAGGATGTTGTCTCGATAAACCTGAGCATTCACGGTTCCCCTTGGAAAGACATGGAGGTATGTGCGCCCTCCTAAGGATATGCCTCCCCAAACACAGACACTGCCTCTTCCGTATGCATCTCTTTCACGGATGTTTGATGGATGATAACGGGTCCCAGGTTCTCTCCATATCAAATAACGTCTACTGTCACTTTCTAGACTAAACCTGGACTCATCCGTAAAGAGAACAGGCCTCCATTGATCTGACGTCCAGTGGACATGTTGTCGGGCCCACTGCAAACGGTCTCTCCTATGGCGTGATGTGAGCGGCACGCAAATGGCTGGTCGTCTCGCATACAGACCACCTTCGTGGAGCCTTCTGCGCACAGTTGACGTTGACACCAACCTTCCGGTGGCTGCAGCAAGAGAGGATCTAAGATGTGTCGGAGTAGCGGTTCTATTCCTGCGTGCACTTAATGTCAAATATCGGTCATCGGCACTGGTCGTAACAGTTGGCCGTCCTTGACTGAACCTCCTAGATGCCGAATCTGTGGTTTGAAATTGCCTCCAAAGTCTATGAACCACAGATGGACTCACATTTAGCCATCTGGCCACTTCTGATTGACTCTGCCCTGCCTCTAGTCTCCCGATGGCTCTCCATCGTAGTTCTTCAGGCAAATGATGCCTAGAGGTCATTATTACGAATTGGCTATCTCAGATTTTCAATGTCGCAATCACAGTAAAATTTGTGTGCTTTCTCTCAAACTTGGACTTTTATGCTCCAGGCAGATGACGTAAGCCGAGTGCAGCGCCACTAATTTGCATATTGCAATTTTACTCAGCTACTCTTAGTGGACAACATATGCAAATTTTGCACGGTTTGGCTTACTTTTGAAAGAGTTATCGCTATTTTTGTGATTTTTCCTTAATTTATGATAACCAGTGTATATTTAAATTTTACACATACCTATGATGACCTGGATAAGTAATTAAAATTTACAAATATGTCGTTCTTTCTTGAGTTTATGATTATAACAGCTATTTACTGATAAAAAATGAATATTAATCATGAATATAAGCTTATAAAGTATCTCTCTGGCTCTCTCTTGCAAACAAATAAAATAAACTGTGTTTTTAAGTTCCACCATTGAAAATTTGATTTCCAGAAACTTCTGAGATCAATTATTTTTTTAAACGTCTGGACCTTCGATCTCCGGAAACTTCCGGATCACTGTTAGCAAAAAATCCGGATTTTTTCCGGAGCACAATCAGCCCTGAATTTAGTAAAATGTTACAGATAGTATATCATTACAGATAGTATATCATTTAATGCAGGTCTGAAAGCCTCCAAATTTCAGTTTAGATTTTCAGTTCAAATGTTTATTGCCTCCTTTGTTATTTACTATGCTATGAATCAGATATAGACACCTATCTAAATTTGGTATAAATTGCATGCATCAATTCAGCTTTAAGCCTTTTCCGTTCTATTTATTTCATTTATAAGAAAACAAAATACAACCGTTCACATCAATAAAATTGAGCAAAATGCATGCAAAAATATTTAATTTTATAAGTTGGTAAAAATATTTTTAATTCCATTATAAGAAAAGCAAATATTTCCTATTTTTTAGAATGACATATAAAACTCAGAGGTACCAAATTAGCTATCAATAAACAGAAGAAAATTAACACATAAATGTGTGCAGTTTGCTTTAAAGAAATTCAAATTAGCCTAATTTAAAGATAAATACATCTCAATTCTACCTAGGTAATAGGTATGTTAACAAGCTCTTATGCATGAATTTGATTTTAAATTTAAAAAAAAAAGTAATGTCACTTTAAGGTATTGAATTAACATTGAAATTTTATACTTAGCATAAAATTGATTATTCGGAATTAATTTTCTAGTTTTTGATTAAATTAGAAGTAATCCTTGTTTTTTTAATCACTAAAAATTTTTCTCACACCATTTCAGACTTGAGTTTATGTTGTTCTTTTGTTTTTCTATAAGGAAAGAAGATAAAAGTTTAGAATAGTTTGTTGGAAGGGAGAATAATGAGAATTTTCTGCTTTTTTCATATTTATAAAAAATTGCTTTTTAATTTTACTTATTTCAGGGTGCATAGGTAAATTTATTAACAAAAAATAAGCACCTCTTAAGTACTATTTAAGCCCTCAAAAAATATTTTTAAGCACTATATACATTAACAAAATGCAAAATAATTTTCAAAGATCTTACATGATCATGTTAAAATAACTAGTTTCTGACAAAGAACTCTTTTCTTGATTATATTAGCCATTATAAAAAGATAGAGAGACTTTTTGGTTCGATACCAGAGGGTGGGAAATGAAGCCTGAAATTGAGAATATCTTGCAAATTGCAGCAGAGTTGCACATGAGAGTGCTAGAATCTCGCTGAACCCAGCTCAGTAGAAGCACATGTGGACTCGCAAGTATTTCATCAAACATGTAAAATTATTGCCGCTTTCATAGGCCATGGATCGACGGGGTCCCAAAATATATTGTGGTTGAATAAACCGAGAAAACGTTTAATAGAACTACCTGGAAGGCACGCTTTTGCATAATACGTAGTGAAAATCGACGTGGTAAAGAAACAAATCTCTTATTTGAAAAGGGAAAATTAAGCAATTTTTAATAACACCCAATGAAAAAAAGCACCTTTAAGGACTTTTAAAAAACGGAAATAAGTACCTTTAAGCTCTTTTTTAAAATGCTAAGCACCATGTATTTATATTGTGTTTTTAAAAGCAGAAAAAAATCATTGATTAGTTGAAAAAAGGAAAATTTTGAAACTCAAGGTATTTAAGGGGAAAAGAACTTATCTATCTTAAACAGAGTATTGTATGACGGAAATACTAAAAAACTATAATTTATATTACTAAACTGCAAAATTGTAATCTTGATTATGAAATTGTAATAATTGTGGATAAATCGTAATAGTTGGCAGGCACCTCTGGAAACTACACATTAGGTAAGAAGTTTTCTTTAGCTAATAAATTGTAGCTGTATTAATTCATTAATACATTACTGAAAAATATCTTTAAAAAATTTGAGAAAAAAAAAGACTTCATCGAAAATATATAATATGCAAATTATTCTAATTATTTTATAAACAGAGAGACAATTAAAGACATATAAACACTTACTTCTAAACAGCACTTTATTGGAAACTGAGCTTGAAGAACTAAGGCTTGTAGGCATTCAAAACAATATAAATGTCCACACATCTCAAGGCGATGTGTTAAATTCTGAGCGCGACATACACACACAGGACAAACTTCTTCATCGTCTAACACATCAGCAAAATTATTGAGATCTATACTGCTGGCTAATTCTTTTAAAATAAATTCAGCCTGAAAGAAATACATATGTACTAAGCAAAAAATACAATGAAATAGGATGAAATAAAAATAGCTATCTACTTTTCTTTGTTGATTTAAATAGATATATTTAACAAGTTATTAAAAAAAAGAAAAGATTTTGATGTTACAAATTTAGAATTCAAATGACTGTCACTAAATATGTTAATCTAATATCAGAAAGTAGATCTAACGATCAAATATTTTTTATTAAAAAACTTTAAGAGCTGCAAATAAAATCAGTAAATTTTTCTTTTTCAAATATTCAAGTTTTAGTAAATAGAAACATAAAATAAAAAACAGTGACTCTTGATTGATGTTTTATTTATCAATAATTACGGCAAGCCTTAAACTTTTTTTATAAGGAAAAAGATCAAAATACTAATAATTATTAGATAAGACAATCAACAGATCACTATTTAATGAAAAGAAACGGATATTGGATTAGCTAAAAAGAGATCATTTCAAATTTATCCATTTTGAACTAATACGAAATAAAAGAAATAATTTTGAACTAATATGAATTGACTTTTCTATCAAAATTAGTTTGAGTTCCATAATGTTTCATTTATCATCATAATGCGACTGCATAACAGTTACTAAATTATTAAGTAGTATAAATTTTATTTTCTCCATGGTTGCCTTACTACACCATTAAGCATGAAGACATTTACATTCATTTTATTTTGATAAGTTTATTTATTTTCATAAAACATATTTAGAGTTATTTTCCTAGGGGAGATTTCCGTATCATTATCTGTGGCAGAATAATCACCAAGTCTTGGAAACTTCCAGGCAGTGGCTCGCGAGAAACTAAAAAAAAAAAACATCACAGAAAAGGACCAACTCGAAAGGTATAACTCGTAGCCACCCCCGGGCAACATCTACATGTTTTTTTTAAAAAAAATTTGAAAGTTTAAAATCTATTTGGCTCCTTGGGGATTGCAGTTGGCGCGACAGATCACGATACGGAAATATTCCCTTTTTCCTTCTTAATCCCCCCACCGAGTTAAAATTTAATAGAAAGTACATATTAGTAAAATGACTTTTTCATGAAAATTTATTACTAAAAATTTCAGTTTTCCTTTTTCATTTTAATCTTTTATGTGCAGCCCTCTTCACTATAGAAACATATAAACTTACTGATAAAAGCAATTTTTTAAAAAAAATTCATGCATTTTTTTTTTTTTTTTTAATTTTTCACAGTCACAAAAAAAGCAAAGATCCAGCACATAGTGCAGCTTCATTAGCTTAATGCAGGCTTTGAAACATGTTTTTATTATGCTTAAATTAGCTCAAACAGCTTAACAGCCTAATGCTTCATATTTTGACAAGTTTCAATTAAAAATTTCTGCTCAATGTGCATAGTTTTTTATTGAATTAAAAGCTAGGAAAAACATGTGAACCTTCGGCCTTGTAATAACTAAAGGTAAAAAGTAGTAATTTAGAACTCTAACAATTACAAATTTTAAATAAACCAATTGTAACTAAGAATTAATCGATTTAATGATCACCTTAATGATGCTGTCTTCATCACCATGCAAGGTCAGTGTACAAGACTTAAAATTAAGTACAGCTAATCTAAGTCCACAAGAACCAATAAAATTTTCTAAGTCAGCACCATATTGAACTAATAAAGTTTTCAGTAGAATTCTGTTATTGCTCTTAGTAGCTAAAGAAATCTCTTTAGCTGTTTCTGTTTCGATTTCAAGTATAAATTGAAGAATTTGTTGCTTAACGGAGTGACATTTCTCTGCAGAGCCAAATAATCTTAATGATTTAGTCTTGTATTCACAAACAATGTGAACACCAAAAGATTCTTCCAAAGTTTTAAGCCGCAACAGTCCACCATGGCAAAGTAACTTACCAATGTCTTTATTAAAATTGTGGTCCAATACATCCCCTTCTAACAAACTATAAATAGTCCTTTGCAAAGCTTGTAATATTTCATAGTTACTAGAAGCCATTTTTAGTGAGCATATTTGATCATCAAATGGGAAAATATCAAACTTAAAAAGACCATTGTGACCAAATCTTTCCTTTACCATTTCTTCAAGTTCTATCAGTTTTTCTTCAAAACGAGGTTGTAGGGCATTAATAATCTTGAGACTGGATTTAATTACAGTACTAAAATTAGGCGTACACTGAACACCAAAAAGGAATTTTAAGTTGTTTGAAAGCTCGTCAGAAGCTGATACGATATCTTCATCATTTGAAACATTTATATATACTTTCATTAGAGTGGCAGATGGTTTTGGCATATTAACTACTACTTTGAAGTCAACAAGTTTAGTGTGTTTCCTGCATACATCTTCTATTTTTTGTGTAATAATTAGCAGATCATTTGAAGAGGTTTCAAATGGAGGTTCATATTTTAGTTCAACTCTTTCAAACTCTATAAGAGGAGGCAAAAGCCTCCTTAATTCAGATTCAACTTCAATTAGCCTTGCATCTGCTGGTAAGTTTGATAGAGCCAAAATATTACTCTGATCAACACTAACGAAAACTTCAACCCCAAAAAGGTTGATACTTCTCATAGCATATTTTCGTGCAAATGCAAAATGCTTTGGAGAAAATTTTACTAAAGCTACATCACGACATTTCCTTCTTATGAAATTTATATTAATAGATTTTTTGATAGAATAAGGTACATTATCTGCTTGTTTTTTATCACCTAAACTATCTTGGCTTTCAGTTGTACTATTATGCTTTACCATCAAAGATTTTATTTTTCCACCCTTTAACCATTTTAACTCAACTGGTATAACAACATTACCATTTATCATTTTAAGAAGATGAGTTTCTTCAGAATTCAAAAGATTTTCATTTTCTTGTTTGATAATATCTTCAAGAACTCTTACTGCCTCATCAATACAAGCTTCAGAAGCAAACACACTAATTCGTCCTTTTTCTATGGATGGATCAATTACAATAGACTCGTCTGATAGAGTAGCTTTAATTTTGTTTTCAGTTTCTTTCAATTTGCGTCCTTTCTTGCCAAGCAGAACTTGCTTAATAATTCTTTCTCCAACAGGTTCAATAACTTTCTCAACTAAAGTATTTTCAAACATGTCCGAGTAATCGAAATCTAACGACTGTTCAGTAGTCAAAGCACTCATAACGATATCTTTTGGTATAGCAGTAATATTAATTAAAAAATCTCTGGTAGTAGAAATCATATGGTCGAATACAATAAACTCGGGCAACTTCTCAGTTTGGCATATAATAGAGGAAGGATGTAAAAAGGAAACACATCGAGAGGAAAGCATCCTGTAACCACTTCGGTGATGTCCAGTAAAAACACAGAGATTCATTTTGAAACATTCAAATAATAAATCAAGTAATGAAGAAGTTACATCCTCATCTTTAAACTCACGAGTTATATTTTTTTTCAGATTATCTTCAACGATTTGACAGATTTCTCCTACTTTCACATGGACATGCTTTAATGTATCAGAATTAAGATACATTTTTTCACACCATGAAGCACTTGAGTTATTTTCCAGCCATAATTTATAAATATAAAGGTAAGAAATTGTATCACTTTCACTCTGATTCAATTGGCACTTTACAGCATCAACTTTTCTCTGTAATTCTGTATCATTGAAATATTTGAAAATTCTTCCTTTTACTGACAAAAATGCAACAAGTATAACAGCTTCAAATCCCAATTCCCATTCTATACCAACAGAAATAACTTTCGAATATAACGGAGGAAAAGGGAGCTTTATTATTCTTTCACCTAATTTAGTTAGTTTATTATCTTTGATGGCATTTGATTTTTTTAATAAATTCAGAGCACGAGATTTGGTTTCTGAAGGGAGGTTTTCCACAAATTCTATAGCAGCAGCACTGTAAGGTTCATACTGATATACTTTTATCATGGCATTAAAAGGATCAATAGTAAGAATTTCAGGACATTCTGATGCAGGCATTTCATCACAAAAATTTTCTTTGCTATACAATCGATAGCAAACACCATTGCTAGCAAGAGCACCGGCTATTTTTTTGAGCAACTTTGCTCTATCGCAAGAAATGAAGTGAGTAGTTAAAACATCCAATTTTTTACTAGGATCATACAATGGCTCTCTTTTTAACCCACAATCAATTACATACGAAACAGAGGGAATTACAAATGATTCGGCACAGTCTGTAACTAAAAATACAACTCTATTTTTGGATTGTTTCTGATAGCACATGTTTAACCATTTCATTTGCTCAGGTTGAGTTCTGTTTTCATGAAGCAAAGCAAAATCTAAATCGGTAAAGGACAAAGAATTTAGCTTTGCTCGCAAGGCCACTGAAGCAGACTGAATATCAGGAATGGATGGTAGAAATACCATAATATCTCCATCTTCATTTAAAGAATGAATGGATACAATAGTTTTAACAACATCATCAATATAATCATCTGTAGGTAACAGAGGTGATTTTTTCCAGACGGTAGAAGCAGGAAATGTAAGGCAAGGTGGCGTGATAATATCCACTTCATAATCAGAAAAGTAGCTTTCATACTTTACAGATTTATCACATGATGATAATAATAAAATGAGTTTAGAATCTTGTTGATCCTCCAATACATCTTTCAACTTAGCTAATAACATGTCAACTATAATGGTGCGTTTTAAGGGTAATCTGCAAATCGAAATAAAATCCTTTTCTCTATTAACTATTTTAGGATCTTTTAAAATAAAATTCAGCAACTCCTCAGCAGTAAAGAACCTTATATCATTTCCCTTCCCACCTGATCTACTACTTTTGGGACACAGGTTATTCACATTAATTTTCAAACTGGAGCTTAATATCTCATTAGCTTCACAGGACAACAATAGGTGGTTGGGGTACTCATTTTTCAATAAAATCGGGAAAACAACATTTAGATAGTACATAGAATCAGATGATACAATGATAACCCTGTTATCATTTAATTTAGAAACTAATGAACTTTTTAGACTGTAACCAGGGAGAACTTTATCAAAAAGCTTACACTCACTTTTTACAGATTCAAGAATTGAATCACCTTTTTGCAAAATTTCAATCATTTCACAAGATAACAAAGAAGATAATTTTTGCTTAGCACTTTTTACAAAATTTTCAAACTCTTCCCTTTGGAGATGCAAATTATGGACATGTGCCTGAAAAATATCACTCGGCGTTCCTTGTTGCTTATATGCGTGCATTCTTTCAACATTCTCTAAATTTTTTTTAGTAGACTGTTCCAAAAGGAAATCAATTTTTTTTCTATATTCTATAATAAATTCAGATGGTTTTTGATTTCTGAGCCTTTCAAGGAAAGAACTTGTCTCATCTAAAATACTCATTGGTTCATTTTCATTATCATCTGATGGTGAATAAGGTTTAAAATTATTATTATTCGATGCCATTTTGTCTGAATAATTATCTGGATTATAATCCACTGATCTATAGCCTGAGGAATGAGATCTATGTTGCGAATAAGTGGGATTTTGAAATTTTCGTTGACTATGTAAGGATTGAAATTCTGGATCACTGCACTCTACTTCTTTTCCTCTCGAAAATGATCGGTGAGTGGAATATCTTTCATGATCAGGTGGTGCTCTTTCACGGGAATCTGGGTAACAATTTTTATACTGACCTCTCCCTCGTTTCCAATTCCTCCTCATACCTAGAAAGCAATGGTACAGCATTACTTTAGACAGTAAATAGAGAATGAATATATTTTTAGAAAATATTCTTGTGGGCAACTTGGATACCCATTTAAATTAGAAATAAAATGATAAAAAAGGAATTTTTTCATAATAAGTATCTTAAATTCAGGGGTGATTGTGAGCCCAAGTCAAAATTCCGGAAAATTTCTCGAGTTTTTTTTAAAATAATAAAAAAAAAAAAAACAGTTTAAATTGAAAAAAACATTATACAAGGTTTTTTTTCTTTCTTTTTCTCAGTATTTCTTAGTTTACATAAAATATATTTAAAATTTTACATATACTTTTACCATTTACACATACCTATGATGACATGGAGAAGAAATTAAAATTTACAAATAAGTCTTTCGTTATTGAGTTTAGGATTATAATAACTATTTACTGATAAAAAATGAATATTAATCATGAATATAAGCTTATAAAGTATCTGGCTCTCCCTTACAAACAAATAAAATGTATTTCAAGTTCCACCTTTGAAAATTTGATTTCCGGAAACTTCTGTGATTAATGATTTTCTGAAACGTCTGGAGCTGCGATCTCCGGAAACTTCCGGTTCACTGTTAGCGAAAAATCTGAAAATCCGGATTTTTTCTGGAGCACAATCAGCCCTGTAAATTCTAAAATTAGGCTTATATGAGTTTAAATTTGAATACTCCATGGCAAAAGTAAGTTTTTGACATAAAACCTTTTTCATCACTATTTGACCAGAGACATACATTCTAACAAGAAGTTATTGAGAGAGTAGAACGCTTTATTTTTCCTTTTTTTTCGAAGAAAAAAAAACCCAGTAATAATCTCTTTTTTTTATAAACTTACTAAAAATACAATGTGACATTGGTATTTAGTTCAAAGCTAAGCTTTCAAGTCATGTAAAAGTTCCATATCAGGACGTCCATTTCCGGAAGGGTAATTTTTTCAGGACACTTCTTAACAATCAAAACATTTCCCAGTTAAATTTTTTTTCTTCACATTAGCAACTTGTTGAAAAAAGTAAGCAGGTATGAGAATTTTCAGCTTTTTCACAAAATTCCTCTTTTTGATTTCTACCAGACCTGAATTTTGTTCAATTTCTGATTTCGACTACAATATGAAAAACATAGGATATCACGAAATCAAAAATTTGGCATTTCACTACAGCATGAAAAAATAGTGTATATTTTTCACGTATAGCATAAAAGAATTATTAACGCACTTAGTTTCAGTGTGTGCAACAATGTCACATTTTGAAAAAATTGCGAATTTGAGATGAACATGTCACGCCCACAGTGGGTCATTAATTGATTATTCAAAAGCAAGATTTGGACCTTGCAGATCTTTCAGTTAAAAATGAAATCAAAATTTTAAAAACTATGTGGTATCCTAAATTGTTGATCGACAAAACCAATTGGGATATTAAAAACGTCACAAATCGAGTCATCAAAAAATAATTCTAAAAATGCACGATTGGAAATTTCCCATGTGTGATAATATAGCATTAAAAAACTGTTAAAATCGGTAACAATAACTGACAAAAAAGCGATCGTAAATCCACGTGAGATTGTGGGTGAATCCACGGGATCCACGTGAGATTGATTGAGCGTAAATCCACGTGAGATTGATTGAGTGTGTGCGCTATTCAAAGTTTGTCAATCTTGATAATATCGTGTTAAAACGTAGAGATTTTAAAAATGAAAGGAAAATTCTCTTTAATACCTGCTGAAAGAATGATCGGCTAAACCACACAGATTCACTGTTTAAATTGTTGCTAATTGAGTAGGTTGAAAATAGATGGCGCCAAATAAAATGCGTAATTCGAAATTTCCATCAAGGTTTCAAAGACCATGTGGAAATATGTAACAAAGTCTGCAGAAATAGCGCAACCATATGGATTTATTCGTAGTTGGTTGAAATTTACCTTAATTATCGTCCTTTTTTTTAAAGTTAGGACATTTGGATGTTTGTTTATCTTTAAGACCCATTATCCGGAAAAATCTATTTCCCGGACTTAATGGATATGGGAAATTCCACTGTACTGTAAAAATACCAACACACTACCAAGTGTTCGCCCCTTTTGCCAAATATTGAGGCAAACCTTATATTAGCCGAATATTGGACCAACATTCAGGAAAGTATTTTTTTGACTAGTTTTTATTTTTTTCGAATTTGAACAGATTTAATAAAGAATAATCTGTAAATGAAATTTTTACTTTACATTATTTGAAATTAGTTTTTACACATATTTGTTAAGTTCTAAAACTTGCCCACATCTTGTAAATTTATTATTTAGAAGATAAAGTGAAATGTGAAATTGGAAGAACTGAAATTAGAACCACAAGTTTTGCACTGTTCATTTTCCTCCCATTATAACCCAGAAAGTCAATTTCAAGTTTCTTTTTCAACACTTTTTGTTTCACGAATAAAGAGCAGTTTGTTTCTATTCCATTTTTACTATTTTAATACAGCACAGCATTTTAACAGAGCTTTTATGATAGATTTTATTCTTTATTTTCACTTTTTTCCTGTATCATTAAGGCAGATAACCAGTAACATAGAAAACTAGGATTTTCAACATTGAAATTAAGCTTTAAAAACTAAGAACATGTTTTTCCTTTCTGTTTCTCTTTTGCCTTTTTTTAAAATTAACTTTTCTTTTTATCAGCACTTTTTTAAGACGCAGCGTTTTTTAAAGAGCATTTTGAATAAACATTTTTCTTTTATCCTCACTTTTCTAATAATACAGCAATGTAAAACAGTTAAAAAAAGAATTTTAGCTTTAAATTCATTTGAAAATTTAAGAAAAATTTATGATTTGATTTCATCTAGCTTTTTCTTTTTAAAAAAACTTTTTATTTAGCTACGTTTTTATTATGATGCAGCAATTAAAAGAGTTTCTATTAGACTCTGTTCCTTTTTCTAACTTTTTTTTGAAGAAAAAAAAGTAACTGGAAAATTGAGATGTTCAGCTTTAAAATTTTCTTTTGAGATTGATTTTTATTTTTGTAGATAACCTTTTTTTATGGATGTTTTTATAATAATGCGCCATTTTTAAAAGTGTTTCTGATAGGCAATTTTTCTTTGAACACTTTATGGATACTGTCTTAAAAAAATTGAGAGGATTTTTTTTTAAATTTCTCTTATGTTTTTTTCTTTCAACTTTACAACTGTAGTTCACATATATAGCTGTTAGTAAACTCATATATAGTTGTTAGTAAATTTTTCATTTATTTTAATTTCTAATGGATAACCATTGTGGTTTTTTCCCCTTTTCCTAAAAGCAATAATAAACTAAGTTTTGATTAATTTTCAATAATGACTTAACTTATTCATATATTAAAAATAATATTTATTGAATTATATAATTTTATAAAATTAATAACTATTCATATATAAAAATAATATAATCAATGATTTTAAAAAAAATTTTGCTAATCATCCACCATATATTCGGCAAAATCACTGTTCATTACATCTCCAATAAAAATCACAGATTACTAGTGTTCACAGCAGCAATGAAAATTTAGTGGCCCACTAGGACCACCTACGTATTCATGTAGTGCTCCAAAAACTTAATATGTAGATAAATTTTAGAGAAAAAAAAGCAAAATTACATAATTTATGTTATAGTAGGTACACATCAATTATTTTTTGCTATTTATAACACCCTAAAGCTAATTAAATTTAGGCGCATTATTCTATAATTATTAAAGATTAGTATTTAACAAAATTAAGTGCAAAACAAATGCAAAATAACATTAATAAATCGATTCAACGTAGAGATTAAAATGCTGAGAACAGGTAAATAAATAAATGAGAAAAACAGAAAAAGCAAGAACTAAACAAATATTAGGTACATTAAAAATTATCTAAAAAATGATACAATTTGAAATTTAGTCAGTTCTAATAGGAAAAAATTTATGGATTAATATTTACGGACAATTATACTGTCAGTATATGATTGCAAAGCACCGTATAACATGTAAATATGAAATTTCAATATTTAATTTTAAAATGTTTTGTACCAGACGGTTTTAGCAATTCTATTTGAATTCCAAACCACATAGAAAACAATAAAATTAGGACAACAATTTTTTTTAATAAATACACAAAGTTCGAAGAAGAAAAAAAACATTTTTTTGTAAATTTTAAACATATTTCAAGACAACAAATCAGTCAGTAAAGTGTGTGATTTTAGTCACATTTGGCAACAACTGCCGCTATACCACCATACTGGCATAAACCCCTATTAGGGGTCTATTTAGAAGAAATTTGGGCAAAATATCTTATCATGAAACAGGACGCTTCCCAAAATAATTTATTTTTTATTCAGACCCTTTACAAATTTGTTTATCTTCATTATTGTTTTGTTAATCAAATAAACCCTTCCCGGGGAGAGGGGGGGAGAAAGACAGTTTGAGACAAAGTAAGCTTCCCTAAGTTTAAATTCCAAATGTAGTATTCTAAGAAAATATTTCTACTTTTTACAAGCATCGTGCGCATATTCTTATTAATATTAAATCATATATCTATTATATATAATTCTCTTACGTGGCTCCCAAATTTTGGCTGTATTTCTTTTCCGCCGGTGGCAACGCTTGCTTTGTTTTGTTTACGTTTTGAAAACATCAAAGCATTCGGCCTTTTAATAATGTGTTTCTGATCTAATATATATAATTCTCTTACGTGGCTCCCAAATTTCAGCTGAAGTACTTTGTACAACTAAATAAGATTCTTTTCACAACACTTAAGCATTTACTTTATTTTCTTCATATATCAGTCGGCAAAGAATTCTGTTAGGTTAAAAAACATTTCGCTAAAAAAATAACGAATTCTAAAAGAAATAAAAATAAACAACTTAAAAAAATAAAATGCTGTTGCCAACCATAGAATTTTTTGAAAGTTAACTTAATAAATCAAAATGACATAGAAGCGCAACTAGATCAAAATTATGATACCTGAGCTCTTGACGTAACAAATCCTTCAATTCTATAAGTGTTGTATCGCCAAATGCCCAAATTAACAATTGTGTTCTTAAAGAAATTCTATAAAAAGTTTTAAATAAACAACCTACTTCTACAACTGCTTCTTGAAGAACTTGGCTCATTGATTAAAAATATTGTTTTAATTTTACAGTACTAACTTTACTTCTACTTTCATTATTGCTATGACCCTCTTTCATTACATTTTACAACTTCATGCTAAATTTGAGGACTTTAAGTTGTTTTGTGGTTGAATACTGACATTTAGAAATGTGTACATAAAAAAAATAATATTTAGAGGTTAAGAGTTGCCTCAGAAAAATTTGAATTGTTGACATTGAACTTAACAATGGAAACAATCGTTTTTGTGAAAAATTGAATTGTATTGTTGACATCAAAACTAAAAATATTGTGTTTCAACTTAACAATACTACCTTAATTTATACTTTAGAATTGCCTCGGAGAAATTTGAATTGTTAGCAATGACTTAAACAAAAAGTTTTATTTTAACTGACAAATACTATATTATAATTTTAACTTTTTCTATGACTATACTCATTTTCTTACTCTTTTCTTTGTTTTTTATACATTTTATATTTTTGTGATAAAATAAAAAACTTATAGTTGTTCTGCTTCTGAACACTGATGAAAACACAAAATGATGGGCTTCATCAACAATAAAAAATATATACATTTATTTTACAAATTCTATATTATTAGGGTGGCGCACTTCAGAGAATTAAAAATTCAAAATTATCTTCATCGAAGTGGATGCTTTACATCCGGCGTTCAGTGGCAGACTACTATTTCATATTGTTTTACAACACATGGTTTTAGCCCTCTGGTGGGAAAGACTTTGAAACAAAACTTACAACAATTACTTTTCTCAACAACTGAAATTTAGAATAGTGTGATTATGAAAAATATGTCAACTGTTTGCAATTTCAAATTAATATTGAAATGTACAGGTTTAGAATTTTCTACAGTGAAAAGTTTTCGGAACTTCAGTATTCAAAAAAGTATGCAAAAGCTAGACTTAAAGAACGTATCCAATGAGCGAGCAAAGCGAGCATTGGATTGCGAAGCAATCCGAAATGAGCTGCGAAAGCAGTTCCGGGGGTTGGAGAGCGTTAGCAAGCAGGGGGCAAAGCCTCCTAGTATATATATATATATTTGTAAATAAATAATTTATCAATTTATATTTATTCATAAAATTGATTAATAGAATATAATGTAAATTAAAATTAATTTCTGCCAATTTTTTAAATCGAATATTATAAATTTAATAATTGTTTAAGTTTATTTAATGTGTAACACATTAAAAGTGACACATTACTAAGTTGTGCTATTTAAAATATGTCAAGTGAAATTATGAAAAATGTGGGTGATTTAGCTTCCAATCTTCATCCGTAATGAATATTCTGTGTTGAGCAGTATAGGCTTAATACCATTAATATTTGTATGTTGCATCTCTAATTTAGTAGCAGCAATTGTTGTGCAGAATCTTGTATCTATATACAATTTAAAAACTTCTTGAAAAGGTTTTTAGCAATTTTTGCAATAGCAGGACCCTAATTGCACAAAAGCAGGACCTTGGTTGAAAGAATGTGACATAATGCTTATTTTATATTCACAAATTAAGAATAGTTTCTTCACAATTTTACAAAAAACGGACCTTTCACAAAATATCTGGACAGACCCCTGCCTATGGATTACAATATATTGTAAAAATAAATAAAAAGAATGTAGTATGTCTGGAAATTATTAGATAAATTCTCAGTGAAATCTCCCTTTTCACTTACACATAACAGGAATTAAAGTATAGATTTCAATGCTCTTTAAAATAGTTTTTTAAGTTAAATTGGCTTTCTTCCTTTTCCCAGCATTGAATTTAATACACTATTTTTTCCAGAGGCATTAAGTGAAGAAAGGGTTAGTCCTGGGAATCTTAAACACCTGTATAAACTTATTTCGTATAGCATGCATCCAATGTTTTTAGACAATCAAATTTATTATTAATAATCATTTATTATAAAGCGTTTAAGTTCAAGATAAATTTTGAATCTGGTCAAATCATGGAATTTTTGGGGACCGGTCAAAAGACGTTACAAACCAACCCAGTTAAATTAGAAATTTAACTTTCCCTGTTTTATTTTGTTTTTAATACAAGAGATGTGGGAGTAATATAAAAACGGACGACGACACAGTTAACAAAATAAAAAAAATTTCTCTTAATAATTAAAATATTCTAGGTATTAACACAAGAAAAGTTCGTTTGATACAGTTTCGTATTTCTTACATGAAAATATAAAGACAAGTAATAGTGCCTAACATTTTAAAAATCAATAAAAATATCCCTTAGCGTAAATAAGGTTTTAAGTTAACAATATCAAATTAACTTTATACTTACACAAATAATGACAGAAAAGGGGAATTACCTAAAATCGTAGTGATAACAATAGTTTATTATACTTTTATAATTGCTCTAGATCATTACACCGCAAGAATAGACAAAAAAATACAACAGTTAATAGAGCAAGTAAAATAAATAGTGACCATCCATCTGAAATAAGTGTATTTTATTCAAGATTAGTAACAACTGCGCTTACTTTAAGTTTATCTTGATTACATACCTTATGTTAATGTTTCCGGAATTGTAAAAAGTTTCAGTTTCAATCCACTTCAGTCACGTGATAAAAACAAACTTTCAATGCCATCTGTTGAATACTTAAGGTTGGCGAATGTACAACAACCGATCTAAAAGATTGGACCGTTGAAAAAGTTGAAACAAATATTTTTTCTTTACTAATAAGAAGAGTACTCTCAAAATATTTTCGAACCAGATATGGATCAACTGAAATGAGTCTGATGCTTCGACGAATTTTGTAATTTTTTTTTGTAATTTTCTTAATATTTTATTAAAATCTATCACAAAGAAAGATCAATTTTGAACTGAAATTAAAATTTATTATTATTTTAAAATTTATTATTATTATAACTACATTGAACATTGAACTGAGGCGAAGATAAAAAGATGAAACCGAAACTTAAATACGATATTTGATAAGTAAAATTCTACTCGTTGTTGAAAAGTAAAAATTTATAACTAAATTTGTTGTACTTGGTCTAGATTTATAAATAATTAATTAATAATTTAAATAATGTGAGTATTGTTTAATTCTTATCTTGCATCTTAATTTTTATCTAACAATATTTTGTTTCAATATTCCCAATGAAAAAATTTTTGTACTGCAGTTTTATTAAATATTACATTTTATTATATATTAGCTTGTTTACTGGTTTTCTGTTCTTGGTCTTTTATTTTTATTATATGTGGTTTTAATATTACGAATTATTAAAATATATATCTAAGTAATTTTATATGTTTTCTGTAAGTCAAAAAGTTTATTATTGGTTATCACATAACTATTCTCAAATTGGGACCCCTCAAATTTAATGTTTGTTATCATTTTTTTTTATCGAAGCTATTAATACATTCAAATAACAAAGCACGCTTTTAATTAATTTTATTTATGTTATATCTTAAAATCATTAATTTGTATTTCTTACCTTTTTGAGTTCTTCGATGAGAAGGAACCACTGTGCAGTTTATTTGAGTGATTACGTAAGAGTTGCTGCATTTTTAGGTACAAAAGTCATTTTTTCTTTTTAATAATAATGTTTTTTTATTAGATTAGGAATGCTGCATTTAACATCCATGATAACAGATTCATAGTATTTTTTAAATATTTTTTCGGTAATTATTAGTAAGTTAAAATATTAACTTACTAGTGAATTTTTAAAATTTCATCAAACATTGTTTCACTCCATTCTTTTTTTATTTTTTGGCTTTTAAGAATTTTAAAATTGCCAATTTTTATGTCACTATTCATGCTTATCTTGCTCAAACTTCCGATCAAAATGGCTATCCAAAATGAAAGTGAAACTCATATTTGGTTCACATAGTGTGACATCTGATATTTTCTTTAGTGTTTGTGTAATTTAAAGTTAGTTCACAGTATATTTAGCTAACAAATCATTGCACTTTAGACTAAAATGATTGGTAAGTAGATTTAAATTTTGCATACATGGTTGCTGATTTTGAAAAATAAATTATTAAAATAATTTTTTTAATTTAAATTTTAACATGATTTGTCATCTGCTGGTGCCCCAAAAAATAAATACTATAAAAAATAAATAAAATAAAAAATAAATAAATGCTTGCGATTTTAAATGTTTGTTCTAAATGCATTCTAATAGATAAGCAAAATCTAATTATCAAAACTGGTTATAATGAAGATAATATTAATTGAAGTTAACTGACTAAATTTATCTGTCAGAACTCATTATAATGAGGATAATATTAATTTGATTGAAGGTAACATATATCTTTTATAAAAGGAAATCAAACTATTATGCAGGTAAATTATTTTTCAACTAAATTTTAATTAAAGTTTTAGTCAAGTATAATTTTCAAGATGTTAATTATTAATAAGGTTTGTTAATTGACTGAGGAATTTTACTGATAAATTTTAACAATATACAACTATTTGCACTTTTTTTTAAATTTTTATTTATTTAGTGTTATTTTAAAATTAGTGTTGTATGGAAATATTAAAATTAATTTATCAACTAATTACTTTTTCCTTAACCACCAAAAATAAAGACTGGTGATAATACACCACTAATTATTTAGGAGTAGAAATGATATATGTTGAAGCAAATGGTGAGACCATTTTTAATGTTTTATTTGTAGGAACTCATTGTCTAATTTATAGATAAAAGTTTTTAAATGTATTGAATGTTTTTTTAAATTAAAAAATTAAAGGTTTAAAAAACTGAAAAGAGGTAGGAATTTTAAAAAAAAACTGAGTTTCAGCAAACTCTAAATTTGAATCATGATTTTTTAAACAATAATTAATTTATTGAAATGTATCGATTAATGACCGACATATCTAGTCTATTTATTAATTTTCTCTCTCTCTCTTTTTTTTTTTTTTTAATTTTTTTTTTTTTTTTTAATNTTTTTTTTTTTTTTTTTTTTTTTTTTTTTTTTTTTGTTAAATTAAAGAATTTTAGATCGCATAAATGTTATTAATAAAATATTTCCAAATTTGAGCTAAAGGATTTTTATATAAATTTTATGCAGCGGTCTCCCTAAAATTAAAAAAAAGGCTGGATGCTTTTTAAAAAAACAAGGACACCTTCAGTTTTGAAGGGCTCTAATTTCGATAATTGTGTCTAGATAAAGTGCTCTTCAAAACGAAATTAAAAATATATAAATAAATATGAGAAATAATTATATTTTATTCTAACTTAGCTTAAAAATAATTTGCAGTAGTTATGGTAATCTCTTTTTTAAAATAAAAGAAGAGCATTTTTTCGGAATAAACAAAAGATGACATTTTTACAAAAAGGGTAAGGAGGGTGCATTTGCTTTTGTGAAAGGGTAGACTTGGTGGGCCAATATTAAGCAAGGTCTAAATATTAAGAACATACGCTTACATTTACACTAAAATGAAAAATAATAATAATAGTATATATATTTAAAATTTTATATATATATATATATACAGTACACTCTCGATTATCCGTGCGCGGATTATCCGCTTTTCGGATTATTCGTGCTCATTCTGGAGTCGCAAAAAAATATAAAGAGAAACATTTTCAAGATTAAAAAAATTTGATTCATGAAGTTATAACACTACAAAATTTTTGGAAAGCAATATTCGTTATTGGATTGCAATATATGGAATATCAGCAGCATGGTTAAAGGTAAAATTGCACGTTATCACGAACGTGGAGAGAGATCGTACCACTTGATGAACAATCTTCTTCAGATATTCAAGAAGAATATAGCAACAGTATTCTTGAACTAGCAAAATAAATTTAAGGTTTTCGAAATTCTTGATGAAGAAAATTTAGAAGATTGGTTTCAAAGTGTGAGCCTGGCTTCCAGTATTTGACAGATGAAGACATTGTTACTTGTTGTTGTTGTTGTGGCTTATCCTCCAAATTTTCCGACAAGGTCCATCAGACCGCCGACCCTAAGGAAATCGAGGACCAGAAGAGTATATTCATTGTGATGGTAGTAACTGATGCAGAAGATGTAGTAAATGAGGTAAATACAATTTCTCATTCTTCTGCTCTACCATCTGTGGAAACTTTATTAGATTATATGGGAGGATTTAATTACGGTGACATTACTGCGGTTCGTAAAATATGCGTCAATATATGGCGCATTACACATTTTTTTAAGCATCAAATGTTAAAAGGAAAATTCCTAGTTTGATGTTATACAGCATGCAAATGTCAGTAATTTTTATATTTTTTGTACTGATATGGATTTTTTCTTCAATCAAAAGGAGTTATCGGATTATCCATGTTTTTCCATTGTCCGTGCAACCTGTCCCGGTGATTAACCCGGATAATCGGGAGTGTACTGTATATATATATATATATTTTTTTATTTATGTTATTTTCTTTAACATTAAAAAAAAAAAAAAAATTATTGCTCTTATGAAAACTTTTCAAATAACTTCTTTTTATCTGTTAAATTCATGACCCATTAATGTGTCATTAAAAATATATTTGGAGACATATTTTATTCTTGTAAATAGCTATTTTAGCATATATTTTTCTTAGGGCTAATCCATAATGACTGATATTACACTTTGATAGGTTTTCTTATTTTTGCTATTTTTTTTCGTTGGTAAATATTTTATAATTTTTTTAAAAAATTATATGGAAGGTTTTTCAATACCTTAATATTAATATGCATATGAGAAAAAAGTATACAAATTAAAAATGTTTTATTCAGAATAAAAATATGACTGTGAATATTACATAGAAAGAGTGTGGAGTGAAATGTAATATTCTTATTTTGAAATTCTCCTTCGATAAAAACTTAAGAGATTAGCTTTTTAAAATTTATTTAAAAAAAATAACTTTTGAATAGAGGAAAAAAAATCTTGTGACCGTTGTTAGAATTTTTATGACTGATGTTACTAATACAAACTATATCAAAATTATAAACTTTTTTTTATTCCAATTATAAATTGCTTGAAAATTAAGAAATTTGTTAATATTCAGTTTATTCTTGATATCTCAAAGTGGAAGGGACACTAAAAATATTTTGTGATAACGAGTTTTCGAGATAACACGTTCAGAGCTAAATATGTTCTAAAAAGGGGGAAAATGTATTCTAAAATAGTATACCTACTTAATAGTATACCTACTTAATACCTACTAAGTACCTACTTAGTAGGTATACTTAATAATAGTATACCTACTAATAGTATACCTACTTAATACCTACTAAGTACCTACTTAGGGGCCGTTCAAAAAGTACGTACACAAAAATGGAGAAATTTTAAACCCCTCCCCCCTTCGTACATTACCGTACATAAGGTCTTACTCCCCCCCCTTAGAGTATGTACATTTTATTAGTCTACCCCCCTTTTTCATAAAAATTAAAATAATTATGTTTTAAATAAAATTAAATATTTACTTAAGGAGGGTGTAGGATAAAGTCAAATTTAAATTTGGTGTATGTTTATAAAGTACGTACTTTGTATAATACATCCCCCCCTCCCCATCGTACAAAACCGTACATAATAGCAAATCCCCTCCCCCCCCCTTCGGGATGTACGTACTTTTTGAACGGCCCCTTAGTAGGTATACTTAATAATAGTATACCTACTAATAGTATACCTACTTAAAAAGTAGAGTCATGAAACATAGGAATAACTACTAATAATCATGTATGTAATGATAGTTTGCTATAAATCTAAATACAGCACTGATAATTTTTAAAAGACAAAATTAATTTTGCATTAAATAGAAAATATTAATAGATTTACAATGAACTTGCATTTTGATTTTTCGGGAAAAATTTATTTTCAATTTTGAAAAACTATTTGACTTAACAAAGTTTTAAGAAGAAACTCTTTAACATAGGAATTCAAATTAATATTAATTGGATATGTAATGCCAAGGGATAGAATATTTTTCTGACATAACAAGGTTCTCGAGATATAGAAGTTCGAGATATCGAGAGTATACTGTATAGTGTATGTTATACTTTTGTGCAGAGTCTATCTTTTGTGACCATAATATCCTAAATTAGTTCAATTTCCATTTTAATCCGTCAAAATTTTATTTGCAGTTGATTTTAATACTCTCTTTGTATAATGATGTATCCATTAGAATTTTTATTTAAAAAAAATACTTTAGAAATTAAATTATTTACAAAATCTACATGGAGCTTTTACAGATTCATTTTCAAAAGACTTCACTTTTTTCACATGCAGCATATAGTTATTATTTCTTTCATGTCATGTGATCCATAACATCCAGACTTCTTTGTTGGGGTTGACACTATAAGAAGTAATCCTAAGACAGTGTGAAGATGCATTAAAATCTCAAAATGTTTATTAAATTGAATGATATTTTGGTTTCATAAAGACATTTTACTGTGCATTATCGATTCATTTTATGAATAAGGATTACTTTTCTAACTAACTAATGATAATATATACGCGAAGTAATTTTTTATTATGTAAAAGAAATTATTGAATATTCTCATCTGTTAAGAAGGGCTAATCTAGAAATAAAGTATGGTAATTATTTTTAGGTTTCTTTTTTAGATATCTTAATTCTATTTAGCTGTTATTATATATATATATATATTTGTTTGTTATGTTGTCCTTTGTACCATCGAATTGCCCATAAAAGAGTCCTCATTGTTTTGAAATAGGTATTCCACAGTATTGAAATTTTCATTGCAACTTATTATGTGTAATTGATAATATTGTGACTATCACAGGTTTTAAATTTGCTATTTTTTTCAGGTTTAATTATGAAGTAATTGATTAAAGAAGGACTTTTTCTTCTGAAAGAAAATTTTAAATATTTCATAAAATGATAGAGGAAATTCTTCCGTAAATTAAAAGAATAATTTTAATGAAAAAATGGACTCAGAAGAATCATTCACGAGTTCCGATTCTGATTGGGAAGATGTTGAAGATACTAAAGCTATGAAAAATGATGTCAGATCTTGTAACTCAGAGCCTACCGATCACACTATGAACCCAGAGTCTCACTTGGGTTGTGACGCTTCAAAGAAAAATCCTTGCACAATCATAAAACAAACTGCTAGGAAATCAAAAAATAAAACGAAGTTTGGTAAGAAAGGTAAGTTTCTAAAGTCTAATTCCAAATCAAGCATTGCTAAATCAGAAAAAATTGATTCAAGGACATCTGTGCTCTCTAGACTCTCTTCATCTGAAGCTGAAGCTCCTATTCGCAAATTTGACCCAATTCCAGATAGCTTGTATATGAATAAGGAAAAATTTCAACTTTCTGAAAGTCCTGAGAAATTAACTATACCATTTTCTATGAGTATGACCAATAGAAATAATTATGATTTGAATGACTCAGCTGATGAACTTAGTCAATCACCACCCCGATTTAATTCCTGTTACATCCAAAAGGATGAAAACTCTACTAATTCTCAAAGCATTAGATTTCATTCTGAAAATGAAGGAAATACATACTTTGGATCTGATTCTGGTTCAGATTCTGATTCGAAGAACTCACTTTTTAGTTGGTCGTTTTCTGAAAGACCAGTCAATAAGGAAAAGCATACTAAAAGAAGTACTAGTTTGTTTGAATCTTCTGACGCAAAGACCACTCGTCAGCTTGGCAGTAGTTCTTCAAAAAATCATATTCCAGATCCTTGCAAAACACCAAAAACTTACCATCTAAGTTCTGAATATTTACAACAAGTTAATTGTCAAAGTTATGAAAGGAAACCAGCTTCAATCTCTCCTGAACTTCCATCAGCAACTGTAAAACTTGCTACAGCTGTTCAAAGAAATGAAAAAAATAGTCCTCATCAATTGCATTTCGATCCTCAAGATATTAAGATGAAACAGCAATTTTCTAAAATAGAAATAGATAATGAGGCAAAAAGAAAGGGATTATTTTCTGAAAGGAAACCACCAACTCGCTTTTCACAAGCCTCATTAAGAAACGACAAATTTGATATTCTTCATCAAGAAATTCAAAACAGGAATTCTTTTGATCAAGATATTCCTACCCATATTAAGATGAAACAGCAATATTCTGAAATAGATAATGAGGCAAAAAGAAAGGAATTATTTTATAAAAGGCAACCACCAACAAACTTTTCACAAGTCTCATTAACATCAGAAAAATTTGATATTGTTCATCAAGAAATTCAAAACAGGAATTCTCGCCCATTTATTACTGATAATCAAGTTAGATCGAGTGATCAAAATGTTAAACAGCAATATTTAGGTAAAAGAATAGATTATGATTCAGAAAAAAGTTCTACAAATAGAAGAGAATCTTCTAACAATCCTTTATCTTCAAACTATGAAATTTATCCAAATGATATCACACATTTAACTACCGAAGATGATGAACTAAATTTGAATTCCTTGGATTTTATTAGTTGTTGTAGAAAAGAATTAGAAAAAATTTCTGAAGAAGCTATCAATAAAGTTTCATCAAAAAAAGAAGATTTAAGATCAATTTCTGAGAGTGAGAACACTAAGATCAAAAATATTTTAACGAAACGTATTGAAAATTTTGATTCACAACAGAATCAATTTATAGATATAATAACCCATGCAAAGAATCAAATATCTTATACATCGTGTCAAAATTATGAGGATATAGTTAAAACGTGGGATGCAATCAAATCCACTGTTCAAAATGAGAGTAAATTGTTTGAAAACTTTTTTCCAGCTTATGCATATCGCGATGAAGTAGTCCAAAGTTTAAATCACAAGCGCATTTTATTTTTGCATTCAAGCAACGCTTATTTTTTTAATATCTTAGTGCCATTAATATCTCTAAAACATTATCCAAGTTGTTTTATTGTGTCTTGTGTAAGTGGTGAGACCCAAAAGCAATATCTGAAATATTCTCTTCATTCGGCAATGGGAAGCAAAGAACAAAAGCATAAAACTTATGTCATGACAGAATCGGAACTTTTAAATTATTCTCTTAAAATAGATTATGCAGCCAAAAAAACAACTTGTGTTGTTTTGAATCTCCCTCTTTCTAGATCAGTAGTTACTGACATTTTGCTATCAAATTTAAGAGATATCTTAAAAGAGAATAAGAATTCGAAGCTTGTTTTAATAATTGATCCAGTTGTGAATTTGACACCCTACAAAAAATATTTCTCCATGTTTGAAATCTCAACAATAGTACCCCCTAATCTTACGTATCCAGTGAATACCATATGGAAAAACAATGCTTTGGTCCCTGAAAACGATATTTTGAACGAAATAGTGCGAACAATATTGTCCATCCACATCACAAAAAGTTGGGGTAACATACTTGCCTTTGTACCATCATTAAGAGATGCAAAAACTGTCAATCAATTGCTCAAGAAACAATGTGCAGTTTATCAGTACAATAGCGTTAAAATTATTTTGGTGGAGGAAAACTATTATGCTATTTGCAGTGATGAAATACGTGAGAAAAATTCTAAATTTCAGTTTGTTTTTATATCAGTTGGTTCTGCTGAAATGATAAGTCTTCCGTCTGTGCACTTCATTGTGGATTGTGGTACTGTTACGGACTACCACTTGGATGATAACAAAAAAGTCGATGTTTTAGCCACAGTATTTATTTCTTCTGTCAAATCAAAACTGCGTAAAACTTTAGGTGGAGTTTATGGCCCTGGCATGTGTTATCGAATTTACAGCAAACATAACTTCATTAATGATATGCCTTCTCAAGACTATCCTGAGCTTTTGCTTAGAAATCCTCTTAATTCTTTAGTAAAAATTCTCAAGTATAAGCCAGATGTCGTGCTGAAAGAGTTTATTGAATTTCTACCTGAAGGTGTGGTAGCAGAAACAATTAGAAACTTAGAAAAATATGGTGCTATTGTGGATAATAAAGTTTCACTCATTGGAGAAAAATTAATTAAACTTCCTTTTGAGGCTAAGTATTCAAAACTAATACTTTTGGGAATAGAATCTGGTTTGGCATTAGAAACAGTTGTCCTTGTGTCTTTTTTAACTGAAAAGGGTAAATTGTTTAAAAGTACAGATAATCCAAAATATCAACGTATAATTGATGCTAAGCAAATGGAACTAGTTCAACATCAAAGTGACACTTTAACCAACCTGCATATTTATAAAACCTGCTTAAGAAACAAGTTTGATTTAGAATGGTGCAAAACACATTACATTGATGATAATTTTTTAAAAAGAGTACATCAAAGGGTTGAGGAAATGCGTGAAATTATATTTTCGAGTTTAGAAATAAAAATTAGTGAGAACTTCTCAAATAATGAAAACTGGCCAATGATCGTCCGTGAAATAATATATGATTGCTTTCGAGATAATCTTTGTGTCTTTAGTGGTCGTTTAGATTGTGGTTTCAGAGTGCTTAGCTCTAAGTCAGTGGCATATCTACCCACTCAATCTATAATTTGTCAGAAGGATAACGTACCTCAGTTTTTAATTTTTGATCATGTACTATTATCTGATAAAAATTACTTGATTAATGTCACTAGTATTCCTAGTGATTTTGTAATGAAAAGTTTGCAGGATGGATCGTCATATTTTTCTGATAACGAGCTTTTTGATTATACTTTAACGAAGCGAACAATTGAGCCTGTGGGTGAAGAAGTAATGAATGATATCTTTCTTGGTGAAGATGATGAAAAACTAAAACTTGTCATTGAACAAATTAAACAAAAAACAGGCATTGATCTGATTTCAATTGAACCATCCGTAGAAAAAGGCTCTGTCTCTATCTATGCTTTTCCTACTTGTATTGATGCTGCTTATGAAGCCCTCAAAAAAATCTTGAAAACAAAGAGTGAAGAGATTATAAATGAGTGTCAAACCCATTCATATGAATTAGTGAAGGATGACAAGTCTGTGATACTTGAGGTTGAATTGGCTAAAGGTGCAATGGCTAAATATGTTAAAGTTGGTGAAATTCTTATACAACCCTTAACTGTGGCGAATGTGCATTCTGCAGGAATTTTCACATCTGCAGCTAAACAGTATAATAGATTTCCATATTCTTTGCATATTGCTTGGATTCGAAGACACTGTAATGGAAATGCTAATGTAGATTTTGGCGAAAACACTAACTTCTCCAGTGTTCGTAGACTTTCCTTAAGACACTTATATTTCCTGGGGATGGAAATATTTATGGAAATGAGTGAAAGGAAAAAAAATCAACTGTGCATTTCAGGTCTGTCACCTGAAATATGCCAAGAAAAACTTAAAGACGAGTTGAAAATATTGTTACCTGCTGCTGAAATTACGCATATTGAATTGATGCGTATCGCACCATTTGAAACATCTGACAAAAGACTTAAGGCAATAAAATCTAGTATTTCAAATATTTGCAAAAATGCTTTAGATATGAGTTCAACGGAAATTGTACTCTCTAAGCCAAAACCTTCAGACATAATTCAAGAATTATATATTAAAACAAATACTTATGAGGGGTTAGATTCTGTTGCTGATTTAGTTAAAATCAAATTTTTGGAAGACAAGCTAAGTATTACCACACTAGCATTCAATCTTAGAATTATCTGCAACAATTATATTTATCAAGCATTACAATCTCAACTGAATTCAACTCTCTCTGAATTAAAGAATGATTTAAGTCAAGGTAACGCAAAGGCTGATTTTGAGATAAATGTTGGCAAAGGGAGTGAAGAAACTTATTTTATTGATGTATCTGCAACTAATGTTGCTGTGTTAAATTTAGTTCATGAAACAATCAATTGTTTGCTGAATGGTGTGATATTAAATGAAAATGATATAAAAGATCTTGATAAAATGTTCTGCCATGGGGGACATGTTTGGTTAAAAGGTCTTGAAGCAAGTGAAAATTTATATATCATTATGAATCGACAAAGAAAAGTGTTGCGATTATATGGAGCTGAAGTTAACTGTGAAAATGCCAAAAAGCGCCTTATACAATATCTCAAAGATATTGAAAATGATGTGAATGACATCATTGAACTATCTAGCGAGAAAACAAAAAATTTTCTTTTGAAAGCTCTTGTCCAAAAGTATGGTATTGACTTAAAGAAATTTATTGAAGAGTGTAAACTGCACCAAGCTTACCTTGATCTCAGAACTGCCAAACTATATGTTTATGGTGATCAGACAAGTGTCGAAGAGGTAAGTTATTATTTTGCTTAATCTTTTATTTTATAAATAGGCCAGGAATCAGTGCTGGTATAAGTGGAAAGTAAAATTGAAATAGCAAAATCAATAGCATGGTTAATTAATTAAAAACTCATTTAAAAGGTTGTTTTATAAAATAATTCTTTTGAACATAACTAATCTTGTAATTTTTCAGCACTAAGATCAAAAAAAAAATTTCTTAACTATAAAATGTATTTTTCAGCAGTCAATAATAAAAGGTATTTAAACTTAGCAAACAGGTGAGTGACATGTTTTGGAAAATCTATTTGATAGGCTAAATGAAAACCGGGGATATTTCTGTATCGTGATCTGTCTCGCCAACTACAATAGCCGAGATGCCAAATAGATTTTAAACTTCCAATTTTTTTTAAAAAAACATGTGGACGTTTCCCCGGGGGTGGTGGTTACGAGTTATACCTTTCGAGTTGGTCCCTTTCTGTGATGTTTTTTTTTAGTTTCTTGCAGGCCATTGCCCGGAAGTTTCCAAGACTTGGCGATTATTCTGCCACAGATCAGAATCACAGACCGAAATCTTCCCTGAAAGCTGCAGTTTAATTAAAGAAAATATGATTTTTATTTATGTCAAAACGTTTAAGGAAGTCATTGTCATTAGATCTGAATAAATCCAAATTGAGAGGTACCTGCACAATAGAACTTTTTAACAGATGAAATGGAAAATATTAAAAACTGACATGTGCAATATAGTCACTTTGATTAATCAAGCAAGATGCAGTCAGAATGCCTCTAACTTCGACATATTTCTTCTCAGAGAATACTGAGGAAATATTCAAAAGCTTTATTAATTTTTTTTAATCAAATCCTTTTCTTTTCAAAAATATTGTTTAAATAAACCAGTTTTCAAAATTTATCTTATAAATTTAAAATTTAAAAAAATAATTGACCGACTTAAACAACCTTGATTGACTGATTTTTTAAAAAAAAACATATAGGTAGTTGAAAATTGATTCAGTATTTTCTAAAAAAAAGCACATGGTTAATTTTGACATAAGTTGTAAAGAACATCAGGCTCGCTTACATGTATCCCATCTAAATTTTAACTATGTTATATTTTCTGTATTTTGTTTGTGGATAAGAGAATTGGGATCATGCACTGATTTCCAGTTCCCAGGGATTGTTTTTTGTGAGAGATATAGATGTGGAATTCTTTGAAGTATATAGTATAAGCATCCAGAAATCGAACTTTTTGGCAAAAAAAAAAAAAAAAATAGACACAGTGAAAATGCCTATTAAGTTTTTGTTAGTTGTTTATTAAACCCATAGAAAATTTTTAGAAAAGTGAAAAATTGGTTTCTTCAAGTAAAAATGCAAATTTTTACAAACTAAATTTACAATTAAAATCTATTTACCTAACGATCTGACAACCTTACTTATAAAATTCAGTATTATTTACCCCGCATACTTTTCAATAGTAAAGGCAAATTTTTCTGTTATAATTTTGTTGAATATATATTTTGTACAAGAGAAACTTTCTCAAATTTAGTTCATTTGTCAGTGTGCCAAATATTGCATTAATTTTTATTTTTTAATATTTCGATTTCTGGAAGGAGGATATTTCCGTATCGGGATCTGTCGTGCCAACTACAATCGCTAAAGGTGCCAAAAAGCTTTTATTTAAACTTGTAAATTAAAAAAGACAAACAAACATGTAGATGTTTGCCAGGGAGTGGCTACGAGTTATACCTTTCGAGTTGGTCTCTTTCTGTGATGTTCTTTTTAGTTTCTCGCGGGTCATTGCCCAGAAGTTACCGCGATTATTCTGCCACAGATCATGATACAGAATTCACCCCTGTGCCAGAATAAAACTATTGATTTTATCTTATATATTTTTTTTCTTGCAAAATAATTTTACTATTTACCAAAAACTTTAACCTGTATAGTTTAAAATTAATTTTAGACCTTAACCAGTTTAAAAAATTCACTTTTGGATAATCTTAATATATGAGTTGAAAAAAATGTTATATAAATGTTTCAAATAAATTTATGTATTTTTTATTTTCCAACAGGCTTCAAACTGCATTCAAAATTTGTTAGAAAATCTAGATTCAGTGAATTCAGAAGCAATACTTTACCAAGAAATTTGTCCTGTCTGTCTTTGTCCTGCTATCAATTTAACTTACAGGCTTGAACATTGTGGTCATCTATATCACAGTGAACCTTGTATACAACAATTTATGGAAAATAATGAAGATTTTCCTATAAAATGTTCAACAGAGGTAAGCTCTACCCAAATAATATTTGATAACATCAGAAAATCTAACATAATTTTGCCCAACTTTTGAATATTAGAAAAATCTTATTTCTTTGCATTACATAACAATAGATTCTATACAAAATAATATTATCTAGTATTTACTACAATATTATTTTGTATCATTTTTGATGTTGATCGGTTTTCATTTTTGGAATAAGCAAGAGGAAGATTTGAATGAAAGAATAATTCAGTGATATAATTTTATTTATCATTTCTGTATTGCTAAGTAAATAATATGAAGAATGACATTATAAAACTACTTTTCTATGTTTTACTGCTTTACAACAATACAGAAAATTAAGCAAAATTATATCACCAAATTATTCTACTATATATTATTACTGTATTATATTACCTATTATTGTATTACCTACTGAATTCAGTTACCAATTTTCCCTAGCAACAGTTTTACATTGGCCCCAGTTGCAGGGATGAGATTCTTCCGCGGATTCGCGGATTTCCGCTTTTTCTCAGATTTTTCCATTTTTCCCGCTAATTTCCGCCGAAATTTTTTTTTTTGCACAAGTTAAAATATTTTATGAGGAATTTAATTTTCCGCGGAGCGAAATTATTGAAGTCCTCATTCCTTCCTCTGAAGTTTCTCTAAAAATCATTTCCTAGGGATAAAACTGGTTGACCTTTATACAGGGATGGGATTTTTTTCTCTCGAATTTCAGCCTTTTTATCAAAAACTCAGATTCTCTAAAAGTTTCGTTTTTTTTATTTATTTATTTATAAATATCCCGTTTTTTTTTTAAAAAAAATTCAGTCGTTGAAGTCAAATTATTATATTTATTTACGATTTTCAAAGAAAAACAGAAAATTCAAACTACGTCCTAGCTGCTAATCCTTCCGCATGTTTACTTATATTAGCTATTTTCTCCGATTTCACGCACAGAAAATAAGATTTTCCGTATTTTTTATCCGTCGGCGGGATAGCTCGTATTTTCGTAATTTAGACGTCGCTGCTTCTTGTATTCTGGAGAGAAAGCAAACAAAAAAAGCGAAAAAAAAAAGAGGTGGATTTGTGGTGAAAATATTTATTTGCTCATTCAATTAATCTTGTAAATTTTTATTTATTGTGTAAACAAAAAACAATTCAAACAAGCCTTTTAGAAATCCCAAGTCCAGACTCTGCAAATATCTCGATTTTTATTCACGCGATTTTAATATCAATCATCGATTTTCGTATTTACCTGATTTAAAAGTTGCGCATTGCAATTCTTATTTACGCTTTTTAAATATCGTACATTATGACTCGTATTTACGAGATTTAAAAATCTAATATCGTGTTTTGTATTTTTGCATTTTTAAAATCGCGATTTTATTATCAAACATCGATTTTCGTATTTACCTGATTTAAAAGTTGAACGTTGCGATTCTTATTCAGGCCATTTAAATATTGTACATTGCGATTCTTATTTACGAGATTTAAAAAACCAATATCGCGATTTGTATTTACGAGCTTTTAAAACCCTATGTAGCTACGCGAGCTTAAAATCCAATGTCGTGATTCGTTTTTGCGGTTGTAATATCGCGCGATTTTAAAATTATGCATCTTGATCTAAAAATTACGCATCATGATTTGTATTTTCGCATTTTTTAAATTCGATGTAGAGTTTCATATTCACGTGATTTAAAAGCCTCATATCGGGATTTATAATCACATGGATTACAAGTTTAAACAAAAATTTGACAAAAAAAGTGCGATTTATATGTATATATATATATATATTCTTGGATTTCCTCTTTTTTACTTTCTGACTACTCTCATCCCTGCAGTTGGGCCCAAAATTGGCTAGTAAGGGTCCCATAAGAACATACACCAAGGGATGTCTAGATTTTTTAATATTGGTCCTCGAATGACTTTCAATATTTTAACAAAATTCATTTCTATTTAGGACCAATATAAAAAAAATCTAGACATCCCAATGTTTACCAAGCGTTATAAATCTAAAAAGGACCTACCATAGAAAATAAAATTGGTCCATTATTGAAAGTCATTCTAGGACCAATATTGAAAAATCTAGACATCCTAATGTTTACCCAACATTTTAAGTCTATAAGGGTCCTACATAGAAAATAATATTTGTCCATTATTGAAAGCCATTCTACAAAATATAGACAACCTAATATTGGCTTGTAGATTGTTGTTTGAGGCATACTTGTTCAGATCACACCCATGTGGGGCTAGGCTAAAGGACCCCATTGTGTCTGATCTAGACTGAGTAGCAACAGCACAAGAAAGTCAATGGTGCAATCACAAATACATAAGTGCATGAGACAAAAAAAATATACATTTTTACATCAATGTTTAAAAGCTGCCTTTTGTATTAATGATCGAAATTTTGATTGCCATCAGTTACTATTTTGAAAAGGCTGTTATCACAAAATTTATTTTTATTTGAAACAAGTCAGTTTCACTTCTATTTCCCTAATAAAGGATTATGTATCAAGAACATAATTAACATGTTTAAATAAAACTAGATGTAATATTTTAATCAGAGCTTTTTTAAAAAAAAGCAAAAAAATTGTGCAGATACCAGAGTCAAATTTCTGGTATTGATAAATTAGCCGTTGGGAAAGCTATATTATGCATTGACAAAAAATGTTTTTACCAAGCATATGCAGCACCTTTAAGGTAAAAATTTTGACAAGATTTTTTCAGCATTGATATTTTTACTGTTATATTATTTTAAGCATGATAAAAATAAAAATATATATTTTACTTCTTTTCTCAAATTTTTTCAACTTAATAAATCAAACTAATTAGACTTGCAATATAGTAAAATCTTATCTTTAGTTTTAAAAAATTAGTTATAGTGATTTTTTCTTGTTGATTGCTCATATCATTTTTGATGTTATGTTGAGGAGATATGTTATGAACAAAGAATCTAAAAAAGACTTATAACAATAAATTATTTCATTTCTTTATTTGGTGGAATTTTTTTCTCATTTATGTATTGCTGGACAAAATCTCTCCTTAAATACGTTTGTAAGATGCAACTAAGCTACTTCCAAATTTCTTATATGAATTGCTATTTTTTTTAAAAATGCAATTGCATTTTTTTTAAAATTTTTCTCTTTTTTCCTTTAGGGTTGCGAAAAAGAATTAGTTTTGAAGGACATTTGGAAAATGCTGCGAAATAATCCTGAAAGAATGAAAAGCTTAATTAAAAAATCTATTGCTAATTACTTAGAGCGACATGTTTTAGAAGTTGTACTTTGCCCTACTCCAGACTGCTCAATGTTCTTTTATAAATCTGAAATACTAGGTGACAAAACACACTGCGGATTGTGCCAAAATGATATTTGCATTAAGTAAATATAATGTCTATAAGCTTGAATTTTTATCTGTCAAATTTAATATCTTTCTATGTTTATTTGTCTATCTTGTCTAAATCAGTATTCTAGTATGAAGCACTTTTTATACCATTACGCTAATTCTAAGCAATAATGGGTGACAATTTTAAATACATATGCATCTAATGATGGGTTTTGCATCTCAATGTAAATTCTACAGAAAAGATATAGTTTTTTATTTTTAAATGTTTACAACATTAGACTGAGTTTTTCAGCTCTAGTGCAAACTCAAGATGTTTCACATAACTTGCTATATTTTCTTTTTTTTTATACAAATAATTTAAGACCTTAGTCTAAGAAAAGATTGATATGTTGAGTTGAATTTTAAAAACTTTTAAATTTCAATATTTAAGAGCGTTGCATAATCCAATCTAAACTATTAAATATTTCTTTATTCTAGCAAATGTTATAACAAGGTCGTTTACTTTGAAGAATGATGATCTGTTAATACCTGCTTGATGTTTTTATAAATTTTAGGGCAGATTTTTATAAGTTAATAAAAATAACCCTCAACATTTTTTTTTGCTAAGCTCTTTAAAGAGATAATTTGCAGTAGTTATGTTCTATTTATTACTCTTTATGCAATTAAAAATGAAACACGTTTGTATTAAATTTTTATTTTATTAAGATTTGTATGCATGAAAAAAATTTTAAAAAAATTATATAAACAAATAATTTGTTATAAAGAAATTCCATTTTTTTACTGCATCGCTTTTTTATTATAATTTCTTTTGCGCAAAACTGCATGAGCAAACTTAGATCTTTTGCTTATTTGCATTTTGAAAATATTCTAGGACTCCAATCATTTTAGATCAATTTTAAAATACGGATGAATAGTTGCTTACAGTATTCCAAGCACTTTTTAGGTAGTTATATTTAAATGTTAACTAACTATTGCAAATTAAAGAGCAGCAAAATGTATTGATTAAACATAAATAATATGCATTTCTAATTATTAAAGTAATATGTTATAAATTAAAATTATTTCAAATTCTTAGAGTTCTACTGTATGTAGTTTTCATTCATGCATGTTTCCTTTTATAGATATGTTTTCTTCTTTTTATTGCTTGTAATTTCTAAAATATTGTAAAAACCAGGTAAAGTGAATGATCTGCATACCCAGAAATCGGTGTCTGAGTCCAAATTTTTGAAAAAAAATAATTACTTAACATAAACTTTATATTGTTTTTACATTCTATGGAAGAAAAAATTGATTTAAATACAATTGATCTTAAGTTTACAATTATCTCACCAATTTTCTGGTCCAAAATTTAGACCCCTTAATGTTAAGTTTACTTTTTGCATACTTTACCATATCTTGAGAAATTTTTAAGCCAATTGAAAAAATTTTGCTCACGATTTTATAATTCATGTAGGCGAAGATAATTCCGTGCAAAAAATAACTTTTAGTAAATATTTATTATTTCAATTAAAATTAGTCGAAAAATTTTTTTAATTGTAAGGCATACAGTTTTTTACTTCATTTTAATAAATGTAATTTGAAATGGCAAAATGGTTCAAATAGTTCCTGAGAAATCAAGTTTTTAAAACTTCTATTTTTTATATTATGAACATATACACTAGTGTGCAAAATTTAAGAAGAACCTAAACACTTAACATATCAGTGAAACAGGCAGGTGGGCAGGACTACTCAAGAAACCTTCTGGTATCAGGTACCATCTTCATCCTTAATTTATACACACCAGTGTATATCTAATCTATCTATCTTCGAAAAATGTAGTATGTGGCTTAAAAAAATTCTGGAACAAAATACTGTAAAAATCAACTAGTTATACCACTGCTTTTTAATATTGATACTATGTTTCAACTACAAAAAGATGTAATGCATCCATTTACAACAAAGTGCTGAGTGAGTTGTTTGTGTATTTTGAAATACAGTAGGGAACCGATTTTCCGGAAAGATCGGGACCATCGCTATTCCCGATAACTGATTTTTCCAATTTTCTGAATCGCTACAAAAAGCCGTTTTTTTATTGTTAAACCCAACTAAAAAAAAAAATTTGGAAATAATCTTAAAAAGAAGAAAAAATGATGAAGTAATACACTAATGATTATTTCCAAAATGATGGTAAGGTAAGCATCTTTCAAAAAAGAACGAAAAGTCCTGAAATCTTATGAGGAAAAAAGCATTTTTTTTTAAAAAATGGCGGGAAAATTTATCGAATTTCGTTCCGGTTTTCTAATTTCCGGATAACGGGTTTTGTACTGTAATGTTTTCTTTTACAGGTGCCATTGTATTGAACATAGTGGTTTTACTTGTCAAATGTATGAAGGAACTAAAAAAGATGCTGATTATTCTTATAAGGTAATACTTGAATTGAATAATGGTCATTAAATAATAAATTTTAACTACAAAATTAAGTTTTAAGTGTTTAATTATATGACAAAAGTATAACTTGTGAACCCTTTCAAACGAAACCATTAACCTACACCAAATTTAGATGTAAATATGCTGCTCTACGTATTCTTTAAATGCTATCTGGTGTGTAGTGGGACAGTAATTTCAAAAACTAAAATATGTTCAGTTATTACTGGTAATTAAATTATGAAATCTGACACTAAGACATACCTTATAAAAATTCTTTTTGTGCTGATTTAAATGGAATAATGTTTAATTATTTTTATTTTACTCGTATTATTAGTTATTTCATATGGTGGGACAAATTTAATGATAATCATGCCAATATAAAAGTTTATGCAAAAACTAATACTTCTAAAACTTATTGTTTACTTTTATTATGTGTAATTTCATTTAAAAGGGATTTATAACTATGCATTACTTTTATCAATTTTATTTATGTATATTTTTGAATTACAATGTACAAATTTTTTACTTCATTTTATTTGCAATTTTGATACTTTTTTTAAGTAAATTTGATAACTGGTTCATTAGAAATGGCATTACTCTATTTAAAGAATATGGTTTTGGATTTTTTTTTTTTTTTTTTGAGTAAAAATATATTTTAATAGATCAGGTATTTATTTTTAAAATTGATCCCTAATTTGCTTATAGTTTTTAAGTAAAACATTTTTGTTCCGTAAAGCCCTTTACCTTATTTAAGTGGCCCTAACAACAACAAATTAATTTTTTTTAAAATTATTTGTTTTTAGCTATTATTCAGGGATGCTACGCCTGCGTCATTTGCGACAAACTGAGACAAAACGGCATAACTGCGCCATTTTGCGACATTCAGCTCAGTTTTTGCTGAAGCTGCGCCATTCTGAGACAAAACGTCCAAAATTTGACAAACCTGAATTCAGTTTCAAATATTAATCCGCATCGCCGTGAGTCATTGGAGAGCATTTTGCCGTTCACACCTCCTAAATACGTCATTTAAATGTCAGAAATTCCGTTTGGCAAATCAGCTATTGGAATGCATATAGAATATGCGTTTCGTATCTACAATTGGATTATGTACAGCAGTGAGTAGCAATCAGTATCGCATGCCCGTGATCTTGTAAGAAAGGAGGGTATTCTTCCCTTATACTATTGGTTATTATCTTGCTTTTTTTCTTAGGAAACTGTACAGTGCACATAATTATTCAGGGATGAAAGACTTCCGCGAAAAAGCGGAAAT